TTCAACAATACAATTTAGTAGGCTACAGTCTAGCTAGAAACAAAATTATTTCAATCTGTTGAGTAAGAGACTTCTTACATTTGACATGTATTCTCTAGGAACAACATGGCTGCAGGAAATAGCATGGCTGATAATGCATGATGGGGATTTTGATGGCGCTTACCGGAAACCTGTCTACTTCCGGTCACCATTTTTAGAGTTCAAGGACGAAGTTCTAAACGAGGTTGGCCTTGACATTGCTAATCCAATGACGTCACCAAGGGTGATCAAGAGCCATTTACCAGTTAAACTAATGCCAAAACAAATTCATGAAAAAGACTGTAAGGTAGAAACAATTGGAATAAATGAAGGGAGTGAAAAATTTTGCGAATTTTGGTTATGTTCTTATCAAAGCACTTGCCCCTCACCGTTCTGTATTCGAATCCCGACATGATTCATGTTAGGAAGCTATCCAGCTAGCTAACGGAACGTCGATGGTTCTACACGGGTGCCCGTTTGTGCCTGAAATTATGCACGGAAGGGCATTTGAGGTCTTTCTCCGCCAGTAAAGGTGGAAAGTCGCCATGTGACCCGGGCCTTTAAAGTGATGATTCAACTTAAATTCCAAGAAAAAATAGACTTTGTTGATAAAAATTCATGAATGTAATTAGGCTTATTAATGGAAAGTGTTTCATCAAGTGTTCCCATAATACAATAGATATCAAATAGACCATTTGTAAAACTAGATAAATAGCAATTAAAATACGCTCTTTGTTTGAATATATGTGGCTTGTTTATCAAGCGTCTTAATTCCATCACGGAAATGTTTTCGTTATGAAAGATGCTTAAAGTAACGTGTCTATAAATTTTAAACACTGTTTCAGTAGTAATGTATCATATATCAAATTTATTCACAGATAATAGTTTTATTCCGGAACCCAAAGGATTTGTGCGTTTCTTACTACCATTTCTACAGATCTAGTTCATCGTTTGGAAAGTTTACGGGAACTTTGGAAGATTTCTTTGACATGTTTATGGAGGGACATGGTAAGATAATTTAGTCCTACCAAATACTTGTATGTTATTAGGGCATTGTTTACATAAAGTTTGCATTTTTTTCTACGTTTTCCTGTTAAAGAACCTAATTACAATGGTATAACAAATTGTTTTAAAAATATTGACAAAACGCGGATGCATTAATGTTCAGTGGTTTGCAGGCAGACTCAAAAATCATTCTAAATTTTGACTTAATTAATTTTTAAAGTTGTAAAGTATGGCAGTAATTAAATTGACACAGAGGCGCGGAGATTTTAATTTTGAGCATGATAAAACACAAATATATCACAAATACATGTGTAAGTGTTTTGTTTATAATTTCGTAATGTATTTCAAACCTTTTTCATGAATGTTTCTTGTCATGATAATTATCTATTTGTGCATCCATATCTATATACATTTTCAATCTTAATCGTCTACCATCTCAAACTTTAGTTGACCACGGGTCCTGGTTTGACTACACTAAGAGTTGGTGGGAATTACGAGATCGGTCAAACGTTAAAATTATATTTTACGAGGACATGAAAGAAGACCTGCACAGGGAGGTTACAGAAATATGTAAATTTCTTGATAAAGATCTATCCGGTGATTTGTTAACGAGAATTGTGGAACACTGTCAGTTTGAGAGTATGAAAAGAAATCCGATGACCAACCATCTAGATGTGTACTCTATCAACGCAAAAGTCTCGCCACTTCTTAGAAAAGGTACTGGTTCATATATGTGTAGAAACGGTACATTTACACATATTGCGTGTCCTGCCCATATTGTGTTTGACGAATTCGCCTTTAAAATTTAAACCGTCCAAAATCATTTTATCGAATTTCATTAGGAACTCCACTGAGGTCCAAAAGCCTAAAAACATAAAATCTTAAATTCTTACAATGACCAATTGCAGCACTTAAACAGGAAGATAATTTTGCAAATGATAAATAAGATACAGACTCAGAAATAAATAGAAAATCGTACGTTTGTGCTATTCTTAGACCGATTTAAAGTGAAAAGCGTTGCAACGCTTTTCAACTTTGGGCCATTTTCACAACTAGAATAATAATCCTGGAAAAAAAAACAGAGTAAGCGAATAATCTGAAATTATGCACACAAGTTACTGATGTAGATCTTCATCAAATAGATCACTTATCTTGAAAAATAATTTCCAGTCCAATCATGTAAAAAACCTGAATGGAGTCCCTTTAACATACCGTCACTGCACATATTTCTTTCAGTTTATTCACTGTCGCATTTCAGTTACTCATATCTGCGACGCCCCAGAAGACTTTCAGTTGTTTTAGTTTTCAGAATGCATGAATATATCAGTTCTTTTACTATCTAGTTGTCAAATAACGATTCATGGAATCTAGGTTTTTAAGATTTTATGAACACATCTGCGGATGTTTTTAAATTCAAAATGTCACCATTTTGGTGTTTAAATGTTAAATTCTGCTTAAACCGGTGCTAGGGGACGAGGACGGTTGTTTGAACTTGACTGTACCGTCCATGAACAGGCTCAATGCAACCGAGCTTGCAACATTTTCAATTTTGTTGTTTTTGATATTCTTTAGGGATACTTATTATTGTCATTGTAAATGGTGGAGCGTGGGCTCGAACCTGCGTTCACCGATTGCAAACTGGCCTGGCTTGTTACTGTTGTATGCATATTGCCACCGGTATGTTGATATAGTAAATTTGCTTTTAAGTTTATAACACAAGTATTACACAATGATTTTACTGTATAGCATTTTATTATATTAAAAGGTTTTTGTATTGTATTCCATATTTTCTTAGAATATTATTGTCATAGGACTAAAACTAAATAAGAAATAGCCGTGGAGAACTTTACTGTCACAATGACCAAATTAAATATCGTCCAAGATTTCCCAAGAGTCTGCTAAATTGTCTGGTTTAATTTTCCGGAGTCTTTCCTTAAAATAAGGCAGAAATGTGAAAATATATAAATGTCACCAAGTAACTTTAACGGAAACAGTATGAATATATCATATTATGCCACAAGTTGGCAGTCACCGCACTGTCAAGGTAGTATGGCACATTGTTGATGAAGACATCACGTGACCCTGTATGCATTATTTCATGTACGGACCACGGACTATTCGCCCCTAACCCAAATGTCGTTATTTTTTTCCATTTCAGGAACGGTTGGTGATTGGAAGACTCATTTTACTGTGTCACAAAATGAAAGATTTGACAAATTCTATAATGATGTACTTGGAGGGCTAGATATACCTTTCAAGTATACACTAGAAATGAACAGTTGAAAATATATGTCGTGATGTAGTAAACCCAACAATATTAGAAATAATCGTTGTCATAGAAGTAGACCAGAATTAAAACTAGTCATCACAGTATACAGTTCAGTTCGCATGAGAATTTTATTCGACCAAGTATTCCTTTGAAAAAAAGTTACCATAAATTGTATAAGTATAGCTCTTCATCTACTGAATCTGTATAATGGATATCCCTTCTTCTTGTGTTTAGAACAGTCAATTTGAAAAAAAGAGCGAATGGGCAGATTGCGCATGCGCGAGAAAATACTACTTCGATCGATTTTCATAGCAACGCCAATGGACCGCGTCGTAAAAAAAAAGGTCGATTATGCATGCCGATCTGGATGTATACTGATAAAATATATCAATCTCTTTCGGTTCCGGCAGTTTAAGTGTTATTAGTCAACAATTTTTATATTACTTATCCATTAACCATAGCATTCTTGGCGGAAATGTCATAAAAATCTAAAGGAAAAGTGACCGAAAACGTAATTAACGACAAAGGTAACTTTTTGTGTCGAGCACTCTCAACACAGACCTGATTCATTATAGTGCCGAAATAAATCACCGCTGATTTTCATAAGGAACTGAAATGTTCTTCACATAAGACTATTGACTTGGATGTGCAAATGTAACCTCCGACAGTTTTCCTAAAATAATCCTCAAGGACCAGTACTATATCAATTACAATGTGACAATGTATCAACAATAACCAAATGGGTTTGTCAGATAAAGAAATGGTTCTTCCACAGATAAAGCATAATATGAAAAGTACATTTATGATGAAAGAAAAGTATTAAAGATCACTACTTAAACAATTTGATTTCAAGACAGTTCTATGGTCCTGTTGAAATTTTGAATTTGCAAAATAGATTACATATAATGTATGCCAAATAGATAACATATATTCAAGACTCTTCACAGTTTTAGAATTAGATTCATATACAAATGTACATCCCTACCATGTTGGGTTTTAGAAATTGACGTCTTTTATTTGTCCTGTATTTTGTTGTTGCTTTTATTGGTTTTATGCACAGTATCAAGTATAGGCATATGTAAACATTCCACTTATTTGGGAAAGAAGACTTCAGGTGCCCTTCAGCCTCTTTATTAATTCAGGCACAACGGTTTCCACACGAGAAAAAACACCGACGTTCCTCAAGCTAGCTTGATAGCTTCCTCACATAAAAGAATCCAAAGTCCCTGTTGGGATACGAACCCACAGAGGTGACGGGCAAGTGGTTTGAAGTTAGCGATCTGAACTACTCGGTCACGGACGCGCCTAAGAAGACTTTTCTTGTAGTGTCCAGTAAAAGATACATATGTACATCGAACAATCTCCGTTCCTCCTTTAATTTTTGTTCTTATTTGGATTACATGGTGTGTGTGCATTCAATATTTTAATCTTTAATCAATATCATAACATATGTTTCAATATACATGATGTACACCAAAAGCTATCAAGTTTATACAGCTGCTAAAAGCTCTCTTAAACATGGGAACAATTATAGACCTATATGCAAGCCGAATGTGTAAGTGTGGTTCATATATACAAGAGATCAACATAACATGTAAGCAAATATGTATACTTACAAAAATTACCAGCAAACTAAATTTATATATCGTCACTTTACAACCAACTGAAATATAATGATAAATGAACATGTACAAGTACATTTTGCGTATTTTTCATTTTATTTATTACAAGATTTTTATACTCCCTCAAATATGTTTACAATACAAAAAGCATTATGTCTTTGACACAATAAATTGACAAAACATATACAAAATTTCATGTATTTATAAAATGGGTGAATGTATGGATCATTTAAATGAAATATGATAGTGAAAGATGTAACAATTCTAAATGATAAATGGAGATGGCGAGACATTGCCATTCACAAAATGTGAGGCTTAAGTTAAACAGTGCATATTTTATGCAAAATTTTACAGAATACTGTTTTTTAATGTTTTTTGTTTGTTTGTTTTTAAATATTTACCCAATTACTTATTATGTTAGACATATTTTTGAATATTTTCACACTTTATGAATAACGTTTTGGATATAAAGAGACTTTCACTTGATTAAAACACTTCATTTGTACACTTCACAATTGAATTTACTAACCAACGAAATCTTTTAGTTTTTGAAAATAATTCTGTAGACATACTGCTCCAAAACGCTTAATTACTGATCTCTATTTAATAGATTCCTAAAGATTTTATAGAACTGTTGACATATTGACAGGAAAACATTCTCACATATCTTTATTTTAACAAGAAAATATTCTCTTGAATACTGTTAAAAACTTTTACTAAACCAGTCTTTATTCCCAATAAACTCCTCCTTTTATAAAAACCAACATTCAAAAACCAGACTTAATACAGACTGCAACACCAATAAACAATCGAATTTCATAAATTCTTTTAAAAAGAGTACAACCAGTCTTCAAACATTACAGAAACCAGTCAACATTAGTAGGAACCAGTCCAAGGTTGAAGGACACTATTCATCCACAAGTTACTTCTACAACAGTCTTTTCTAATGGCTCTACATCCCTGACTGGACTGCATTTCTCAGGAATTTTTTCAGGAACTTGAGGTGGTGGCTCAATCTTCAAAGAAGGATCCTTAGCTTGTTTTAACATTTGAATACTTAATTTATACAAGTCCGAGTCCATATCTTGACTAGTGTACATCTGACTTTGGTCCAAGTTCTGAAATATACAAAATATGTACATCAACTTTTAAATCTCCATTGGCAAAAAGTAATTTGACTATGCAACCTTTGCAGTCTATCAGGACTGTATACCATTGGCTCCTTAATTCAATCATTTTAAAGGAACTCCACTGAGGTCCAAAGGCTTAAAACATAAAATTTGAAAATCTTAAAAATATTAAGTGGACCATTTAAAATGGTAAACTTTGCAAAGGATAACATAGAAATATACTAAGAATTGAATTGGAAATTTTTTTTCTGTGCAATTCTCAGCCAAATTTGAGTGAAAAACGTTGAAAAGTGTTTCATTTTCTTGTCATTTTGCGCAATAAAAATGATTATTCTGGAAAAACGAAATGAGGGAATGAACTGAAAATTTGGACACAAGTTATTAGCCTAGACCTTCATCAAATTGTACACCAATCTCAGGGAAAATGCTCCCAGTTCTGACAGGTAAAAAAATCCTTAGTGAAGTCCCTTTACTTTAGAAAATCCTCAACTTGGCTATGCACTGTGCCAAACTTGTGCCAAATCTTGACAAACAAAAGATCTAATCAAGTGCCCATCTCTACATAATGTCTGACACAGGCATACAAGGAAGTAGAATAATTGAAGCTAGATAGTTTCTCATTACATGTAAGAATCCAAAGGTCCTGATGTAATGCTTATTTATAGCAGTAAGAGATATGTTATATCAAGTAAAAGAAGGCTTGAGAGTAAAACCACCAAGCTAAATTTAGCTGGCTAAATAGCTTCTTCACATGAAAGAATCAAAAGGCCTTGGCAGTATTGGAACCCACAGCGGCAAGGGGCAAGTGGTTTGAAGTCAACAACATTAATCACTCAGCAACAGACCCTCGAGGAGGAGTCCTGGCAAGGGGTAAAAATTTTTTTTACCAAACGTAGTTATGTGTAGTGACACTGACTCTAATAGAAACGTTTACTTTATACAATGTAAAGTATAACCACAGTGTACAATGTACTGTATAACCACAACGTCAGCCTTAGAGGTAAATGAAAAATAGTCTTCAAATCAAGCTAATTACTAGTACATGAATGGCGATTCTAAAATCCACTTTAAACTCTACCATACCTTATCTACTTTACACAACTGTCGTCTGATTTCTAAATCCCTCCTTGCACACAACACTCTCCTGAATGGTCCAATATTTGAAAGCAAGTTCTTTCTTTCTTTCAGTTTCTGAAGAGCTGACGAGTGAAACATAGCAACATCATGTAAAAACTCAAATTTAGGTTTATTTTTGTTCCTTTCTGTAGTTTCAGCCTCATTAGGTTCATTATTACCACTTTCTGTAGTTTGTTCACCATCTTGTTTTTCTACTTTCACTATGTTCTCACTGACAGAATCTTTCTCATCATCAGCACCTGAAAATAATTCAGCAAAATTTTTTTTTCAAATTACGTTTACATATCTCTGATGATATCTGTGAATCATATAGGACAATATCTCATCACTTTTAAAACTTTTATCTTTAGATTTTATACCTGATACAGTATATTGTTTATGTACAAAACATAAAATTATCTTGAGAATTTAAGATAGTGCACAGTGTTTTTATAAGAGTCCCTTGATTTGGAACTGGTACCTGAAATGAGTGGACTATACCAGGTTAGGATCCAACAAGCAGTTACCATGAGGACATTGAATATGATCTGTTCTAGTAGAATTCATTAAAGTACAAAATAACTGCTTAAAATAGTTTTATCATGACCACCTCCCAGATTTTCAAATATTTAACTTCATAAAATGCTATTATATTCAGCAATGTCATTTCCGGTTAATTATCAAATACAACACTGTCTGCACAGGTGGCAGTATAAGTGTTTGGACACCCCACCCTTATCTATTTTTTTCAGGGTTGTAGTAGGGGTTCAGGGGCAGATAGGGGTGGGGTGTCCAAACACTGATACTGCCACCTGTGACGTTTTAATATTTGGTTTGATTTAATTGGGTTAACATCACTTTCACAATTTAAATCACATATGTCAAAACAGGGAAAAAATTTTTTTGCTTATTCGGGTTAAAAATCAAAGCAAACCCCACCGAAAACTAATATGGGGACCCCAAAAAAATAGCAAAAAATAAAAAGGTTATAATTTTAATGCCATACTAAGGAGAAAAAAGAAAAACAACTACATAGAAATGACAAGAATCTCAGAAATTTGGGGGATATCACCCTAGCAAATTAAAATTTAAGTAACCCTTTAATGAAAATTCTTTTTTCTTTTTTTACCGTTTTGTTTTTTATTAATTCTATAAAAAAACAATTTTAAAAACCTTTTTTTCATCTTTAGTCTCTGGAAACTTTTAAAACTTCCTTGTAAAGATCTTCACCGGCAAACTGCCGTGAGATACCCATCTTAGCAAAGAGAGCTCCAGGTTTGAACCTCTGTAACGCAGACCCTGTATTCAATTTCGGACGCTCATCTTTCACCATGCTTGCCCAGTCTATTTCAAGAGCATCTACGGCTGCTGTTAGTGACAAAAAAAAACATGATAATTATTATGTAAGTATTCAGTTATTATAGCCAACAATTAAGCTAACTATGAGACATTGTTTTCTTTTCTTTTGTAAAAATTATAAAACATTCTGTAAAAGTACAAACTAACTTTTTCCTACAGCTCAAAATGATAAAAAGGAACAGAAATTCAGCACATGAAGAATAAAGCGATTGCAGGTAGATAATAAGAGTAAAATACATGATTGGAGAAAGGTTTTGAGAAAAGTGTGGTTGACTTTACGAGGGGAGGGCACTGGTGACTAGAATATGATCAAATGACATTCAGTCAGAGTTATCCAACATGTTTCTATTCAAGTTCTTAATTGAGAAATAGAGTATATCGTACAAATAGGCCACGCCCCTGGCAACTATATTCAAAGATTTCACAATGAACAGTTTTACCAAGTTTAACAGGTTCGACAAGACTGCCTTCATCAGATGATATAGTCTCCAATTCATCCGGACCTGAAATACACAGGTATATAATGTACTGCTGGGGAAAAATGGGAGGAGCATTTCAGTCAGGATGTGACGTGGGAGGGGCTAAAGTGAAGTGGGAGGGAGGAGCTAAAGTGAACCCAGACCTGGATTACTGTAGAGGAAATTTGTAACTGGGATGGGTTACTGAAGATATGGGAGGTTACAGGACATGAATGGAAGAACTTTTATTTTGGTGAAGTTTAGAAGAATGTGAAATAAAAAAGAAAACTGTGCCTTGTGAACTGTGAATGGAAGATGTTATAAAGTTACTAAAAATAGAACTAGTGGGATTAAGGAGGAGTCTGTGTGTGGTAACATTAGGGAGGTGCTAATGTGTGGGCTCTATGGATGGTGAAATGTTAAATGGAAATTTTCTGTGCAATGTTAGATAACATGAAAAGGTAGTATTAAGCAGGTTAAAAGGTAGAAAAGCAAAAAGGAAATAAAAGCTTGCAGTGAAATAATCCAACTTTCATTGGTATTACATATTCCAACTTTCATTTTTAAATAGTGCTCTTTGCCAATTTCATCTTACAGCCAATTTCTTGTACATATATGTAGGTCTACAAAGAAAATCCAGGTTCAACCTATTTGAGATATCATTTTGAAATTTATTGAAAAATACTCATTCAGTTCTCATTTCAGGACCATTCATACTTGGACTTGAAAAGAAAGTTGGACACAATTTACCTTTATCTTCAGAGGTCTTTCTGTCTTTTTCTTTCTCCACACTGTAAAAAAAAAACATTAAAGAATCAAATGACTAATCACATACTGAATATTGATAAAAAAAGAGCATATTTTACTGTAATAAACAAGACCACAGGTGACCCTCTAAACAAACTTGCTTAATTCTGCTTAAGCCGGTGCTAGGGGGAATGGATAGTAACTTGCACTTTCCATTACCGTCCATGAAAAAGCCCAATCGAATCGAGTCTGCAACATTTTCAATCGTGTCATTTTGGGCTTTCTTTAGGAACTCCGTTTTCCACTGTTTATCATATGACAATAAAAAAATAAATAGACAATGGAAAAGACAATTCTTTTATTAACAACATCCATTTCTGCTGCTCAATGAGTATCTAAGTCACAAAAAATTCCATCAAATGCATTGTAATTGTAGTGATTTAGTTAACATACCCTTCTTTACTATGGTGGCTATGTTTACTAGTAACGCTGCCATGTGGACTCTGACCTCCATCTTGTCCAGAACTCTGTCTCTCTCTCTTTGGCGACTGTAAAATAACATATACAATATGTATAGACAAACAGCTGTAGACCTTGGTCCTAATTAAGTACAATAAATGTATAATAAAGAAATTCAGTAGTTTAATGGTTAAACATCATTCTGAGCTTTTAATAGTTCCAGACATGGGTTAATCATAATCATTGATGTTCATGATTATTAATCTATTACTTCTTTCATTAATCATGCATTAATCATTAATCACTGTTTTTTGTGATTAGTTTAATCATAATTTAATTGATTACTGTCAGAAAAAAGCTGACAATCATGATTATTTTATGACTACTTTGAGGTTTGGAAAATTAGAACAATGTTCAGAGAAATTAGAAATAGTTCTAGTTTCTGAAAATACTTTTCACCCATATTAAGATATGGATTTACATCATAATTCACACTTACCGCCTCACCAGGTCTGTTTAAGATATCATCATCGGAGTCGTTGTCCGACCAGTCACTGAAATTCTGCTCTATATTCTCCAGGTTATTATCTGTAACGTCAAAATGTAGAACAACCAATAAACTTACAGCTAGCTGCTTTATAATATCACAAAAAATATCCATGACATATTTATAACATACATTGTAATACATTGTTTGTTACTGACCAAGTTTGGTGACAATCATCGAAACAAACTTTCAGACAAATTTCCAGGATTTTGGATCAAAACAGTAGCCACTAAAGTGTTAACAAAATTTTTCTTTTTTATTTAGCTCCTGTGACCTGGTTTTTCATCCGAGATGTTTGAGATGATTGAGGCAAAAATATGACCGCTAGAGTGTTAATGAACAAATGTGGACAGACGACAGACATTCAACGATCCTGAAATCTCACCCTGAGCTAGCTCAGGTGAGCTAAAATGAGCATAATCATTAATGTCACTTTAAGAAGGATAACATAATTCATAATTTACTAAATAGATAAAGTTGATGTAATATTTGACATACCTTCCCTATCAGAGCCTACAGTGTCCTTGATAACATATCCAGCCAGCTGTCCTACACCTGCAAGTACACCAAACATAGATAGTTTAGAACATGTTATTATACACTGAATGTTTACTCTTGAAGGTCTTCAATGTCAACCTTCCTTTCTATGATGAACCTAAGTTATAATGAGATATGTTAACTGCAGAAAATTAACAATGCACCTTCTTTCCAGTAAAAAACTACTATAACAAGCAATTATCATAGTATTGCAAGCAATCCATAAGTCCCCTACCGGTTAGAACCCCAGCAACATTCTGATTTCAATTTTACCAGTGAATGAATGACATGAATGAACTTAAATCTTTTGAGTTCTTAGTTTGTCTATTTCACAGTAATGTGTTATATAGTTTCCCTGCCTAGTAAGGAAATTATGATTATACAACCTTGTCATATTATTACGATGTGGGATTTTAAAGTAAATCCTATCAGGAATGAAGAAGTTGGAGTAAAAAATACCAATTTCTCGAAAAAAATCTAAGTTCAAGGAGGACATAATTCTGGAAATAGTCTTGCTAGAGTATTTAACCTTCTCAAAAATGTTGAGTGATAATAAGAAACATATATATGAAGTTTGTAGTTGATACATTAGGAAATAAAGAAGTTATTTAAAAAAGACAACATTTTTTTCATAAAAATTCTAAGTTCAAGGGAGGTAATACTGATAATTTTTGTGCTAGAGTTGTAAACCTTGTCACATATGATGTGGTTGATGACCAGAAACTTATATTTAAAGTTTGAAGTAAACACCTTAAGAAATAAAGAACTTATAGTGAAAAAGCTGAAAAATTTAAATCAGAAATCTTGAAATCCAGGCTATTTGTTGCCATAGCAACCAAAATTTTCAACATAGAAAGAAAAGAAAAAGATGTGCATAATCTGCATACTGCCATCTACCCATATTTTAAGTTTCATAAAAAGTTTTTCAGTACTTTTTGAGTTATCACTGGATCCAGTTTATGTGTTAAATTTGCCATATTTTCAGACTATTTGTTGCCATAGCAACCAGAATTTTCAACATAGGAAGAAAAGAAAAAGACGTGCATAATCTCCATACTGCCATCTATCCATATATCAAGTTTCATAAAAATATTTTCAGTACTTTTTGCGTTATCGCGGAATCCAGTTTTGTGGACGGACGGACTGACGGACTGACAGACAGACGGACAGACAAACAGACAGACGGAGGGTAAACCTAAAGTCCCCTCCGGTTAAACCGGTAGGGGACTAATAACTGTATAAAATATGAATTTAAGTCTTAATTAAAAACAAGGCTGAATTTGTTGAACAAGAGTTGACCTTAACAGAGCACCCGCAACTAGACCTAGTTCACTTGAAAGTCGAATATGAACACGCCCTAAAAAAGTAAAAAGTTCAACTTGACAGAGTAACAAGGACAGATCTTTAAAAACTATACTAGAAAGTTGCTGAAAAAGGACAGATCTAGTGAATAAGTCAGGTGAAGGGAAACAGAAACAAACTTAGAAACCAGAAATATGTCCATAGGACAAAGATGCCCCAACATTCCAATGTTTACACAATCTACAGACAGAAAGACAGCATGACCGATGGACAAGGGCAAATCTAAATAACCCACCCCAACCCTTTTGTTTAACACTAGCAGGAAACTAGATAAGTAGGAAAAGCTACCTGTCGGAGTAAAGGATCAATACCTTAGAAAAAAGAACAGAAAAACAATCTTCTTATTTTAAAGTCATGCAAAAAGTGAAGTTGTCAGAACTTGCCACATTTCTAATTCCAGATAGAAATAATAACTGATAGCAAAACATTGCTAAGATCCAGATAGGTGAGAAGTAAACGTAAGAAATATACTAAATTAAACTTGCCACCTTCTTGATACGAGTCTAGCTTTCTACGCTTGCTGTCTCCACTATCTGAACCATCCTTCGACCGTGACCTTGACCTTTTCTTATCTATGCTCTCTGTGTCCTAAAAATAGAAATTTTATTATATTTACTTAATACTTGTGATAATGCAGAAAAAAAAACTAAAACATTAATCGCTGGGTAGTTTAACCTGTAACATTCCGAAATCTAACGTGTTAAGCCTTTGTAGAACAATTTAAGAGTTATAACGGGACTTCGCTGTGTTTTTTCTGACATGATGGGAACGTAGATAATTTTTCGAAAATAAAGCTCCATTTGATGAAGGTCTAAACCAATAATTTGTGTGCACTTTTTCAGATAATTTGCTGTCTGTTTTTTCCAGAATAATTATCTAAATTTGAAAAATACTCATAATGAACAGCATTGCAACTCTTCTCACTCAAATTGGGCTAAGAATAGCACAAAATAACATCTGAGTATATATTTCACAATTATCTATTGCATATTTTTTTGTTCTCAGTTCCTCAGCTGCTTTATGCAAGAAATTCAAAATTTATGTTTTTAGGCTTTTGGACCTCAGTGGAGTCCCTTTAATAGTTGAAATCCTTTAAACATTGAATGGACTGTTCCAAATACAGAGCTAGGCATATCCATTACACTAACTTCGAAGGTTAAAAGTTATTAGCTCATGTATCACAATACAACATAAATTAATGTGATTACTTACACTGCCCTTTCGTGACCTTTTCTCCACATCTCTCCTACTTTTACGAGGCCTTGACCTTTCACTGTCAGCTTTCCTTGACCTCTCACTGCCTGCAACACTTCCCTGTAATACAAAATGAAACAATGCTGAAATTTACTTTCTAAGCCATTTATATTATTAGCTATCGACTTGGGTTTAATTTACAAACAATAGTTTTTATAGGGCCATATAATATGTCAAAAATCTTTATAACAAATTAATAATACTGCAAACTTCCACTTTTTAGCAAGAAAAAAAATTAATTCAATAGACAACAGTTGTGTATAAAGATTATATAAACATCACAATTATCCAATGAAAAAGGACATTACAAACATATCTTACTGTTCATAATTAATATATCATTTATAACCACATGATCATGCAGTAACAAACAAAACCTTGATTCAGTATCAGTGTCCTTTTTTTTTTTACCCAAGCTTTTCTCTAGCATTCTTATACCTATAACAAGGCATTTATCCAAGAAAAGTAAATATGTAACATAATCACAAACAAGGAAAGTAAATATCATATATTGTAAGATGGGCTTTAAGTTACATCTACACAGTAACGCACATATGGCAAATTTCCAGCGCTTAACTGGTGAAAGAGAACCTCAAGTGCCTCTCCATGCATTGCTTCAGGCATCAGTGAGCACCTGAGTAGATCTATTAACCTTTCTTAAGGTAGTAAGATACCTTCTTCAGATACCTTCCTCATCATGAATTATTCTAAGCTATGGACAGAATTTGCTTCAATACCCCCTTAGAAAAGCTAAAGCTGTCATCGATAGAAATAATATAAATGTATTGTTGATATTTTTCTGTTGATCAATAATGGATACAACTTTTAAGAAAATCAATAATTTTGACTTAATAATTGAATGTCTAGAAATTATGGAAATTCACCCAAAACATATGCAAAAGCATATTTACAGCTGAAATGAAAAAAAAGAATGGTCAGCAAAAATCATGCAATGGACATTTATAAGCAAAACACATGTATAAAAAGAACATCTTTTTTACTGAAAGCATATAAAAAGAATTACAGATAAGTAATTAATTCTTGAATAAAGTAATTATCGATACATCAATGCATCTGGTCATCTGATTTTGATACATTGTTGATTTGCTTTTGCACTGAATCAATGACAGCTGTAAGAAAAGCTGAAAGCAATACAGAGCCAACAACCTTAATCACTCATCCGTGGAAGCTCAGGATGTTACTATTACCTTTTCACTATGGTTGTCAATATCTGGTTCCCTTTCTTTAGGTATTTCTCTACTAGACTTCTTGCTGTGTGTGGATAAAGCTGGGGAACCATCCCTTGCCTTTTTAATTGATGGCGACCTTGATCCTTCATTTGAAGCTCTTCTTTTCCTAAAAAAGATAAATAGGTCATCTACAAAAATCAAATTTATTTTTCTCTTATTACCTGATTTTTTTTTACAACTTTGTGACTTAAAAAGTTGTGTGCTTAAGTACTCTGTAATAATCTATCATTTTTAGATTACAAATACAGTGTCAAACCTGTAAACAAAGGCCATCCAAAAGAGAGAATGAACATGTCTTTTACAGCCAAGTGGTTTTTATTTGAGAGGTTACTCTGTTCTATTTTAAGAATGAAAGTTTGTTAAAAAAGTGGTCATAATTCACAGTGTGATCTTTATTCAAAGTGGTCTTTCACACAGGTTTGATTGTAGACTTTCTAATATAATGATGATTACTGCTACTCATATGTTCAAAGAATGAGCAAGATATAGACCAGACAAATCTGGACGGCCACACAGATGCACATACACCAAACTTTATGCCAAAAGTGGCGACTAAGTCGAGCTCATCTCAAGCAAGCTCGACAATAAGATGGTGCTGAATCATATTATTGTTGAAACAGAATCTCGCCTATCTAGTTAAACAACACTTATCACCACATACCTTGATCTCTCTCTTTCTATTGGTTCATCATCTCTCCTTCTATCTTCATCCTTCTTTCTATCCCCACTGGAATCTTTACTCTTCGTGTCTGACCTGTCTTTGTCCTTCGTTCTATCCTTCCTGTCCTCATCTTTCCTGTCCCTAGATCTTTCTTCGTCCCTTTTTCTTTCTTTCTTCTCTGTTTTCTCCACATCCGAGAGATCCTGGTCTCGACGCTTTATATCTTCTTTGTCTATTTTTTCTTCCCTCTTATCTTTTTCTCTATCTCTAAAATAGACAAGAAAACATCTTTGAAATATCTGCTGAAAATAACGCTTTTACAGCCTAAAAATCAATATACCAACACTACACCTAGTTAATTCATAGTTAAAATTCCTGCAATTGAATGTGTAATGTATGATTTTTTACTTTTTCACACTTTTTTTGCTGATGAATGTCCGAGAGGGTCAATAAGGGTAGATTCATAAATTTATACCCTTAGATTAAGTCTATTTTGGTGTAATGTGTAAACTTTATATGCATCAGAGTGTACGAAAAATAAACATCAAAAAAAAATATCCTTTCAAATGTAAAATGTAAAGGGACTCCACTGAGGTCCAAAGGCCTAAAAACATAAAATTTGAATTTCTTACAAATAAGCTGGGACACTTAATTAAAACAGCAAAATAGGAAAAAGATAATTAAGAAATATACTCAGAAATAAATTGAAAATCGTATTTTGTGCTATTCCTAGATCCATTTGGATAATTTTTCAAATTAAAATAATTATTCAGTGACAATGGAGTGAGCAAATGATCTGAAATTTTGCACACAAGTTATCTGACTAACCCTACATCAAAAAGAATATTAATCTGAAAAAATTATTTACAGTCCCATCATGTCAAAAAATCTCAGTGGAGTTCCTTTAAACATAGTAATCCAGTAATCTGTTAGTAATGACTTTATTGTTATGTGATAGAAATATGGTGATAAAAATAGATCTAGTACATAACCGGTGTGTAATTTTGTCATATTTTGAATATAACACTTTTCCACAACTTTCATAAAAACATTTAAAATATTATACACATTTTTATTCTCAAACTTTTTTAAAAAACTATGGAAATATTGTAAAAACATATTTTTCATTTGATTATTTTTTAAAAGTTGATAGCACGGGACTCCCAAATCATTGGCGTACTTAACGTTTTCTGTATGTCTGTATTGAATTTAACTGATGTTTTAATAACAAATATTTTGTATGAAGCAGAACAAATTCAACTTATCATTACAATTTTTTATTGAATGAGGTCAACTATTTTTAACTTCATCGTACATATGACCACAGGTCACAAAATACTGAGGGTAAGTTGATAATAAAGTTGTACCAATTATAAAGAGTTCAGAGAAAAACTCATCTCTAGACATACCACTTGAGCTAAATAGAAAATACTAACTTGTCATCTCGTTTATCCTCCCTCGGAGCCTTCCTATCTTTCTCTATGTCTCTCCCAACTTCCTTGTCTCTGTTTACATCCTTCTCCTTCTCCGAGTCCACCTTCTCGTCTCGTTTCTCTCGTACATCATCCCTCTGTCCGTCACGACGGTCGTCACCACGTCTACCCTCGTCTCGACGGTCTTGCCAATCTCGCCGATCAGAGCCGTAGAAATCATCTGGACGTCTCTGACCATCCCAATCACCACGCCTACCTCTGTCATCGAATCGCCCACCTCCTATAAATTATACACACATACGTTGTCATTTTATAATAAAAACATTTATGAAATATGAAGTAAGCAATATATAACAAAACAGTCGGAAATAATGATTATTATACTCTTGATATTGAAATTTTTCAGTTTCATCATTCTTGCTTCTATATTTGTTGTAATACTGGAAAAAAAAATTAAGGCTTTAATGCAAATTTTTCCTGACCTTCTGACCCCTTGCCTATGTATAAACACCTGAAATCAGGAGGACTAATACCAATAGAGGGGTCCACAAAATCCAAATAAAATTGTTAGTTTTTTTTATCTTTTTAAAGAGCTACATTGGTACAAATATAAGTTCTTACTTTCAGGGCCTCCTCTGCCCCAGTTACCTCTTCCACGACCTCTACCTCTATCCCAGCCGGGACCTTGATCCCTGTAATCATAGGGGCCTCTTCCACGCATAGCACCACCTGCAATACAAATCTTCATTATAACAGCAAAATAAATAGAGAATATTGAATGAGTGTAAGTTCAATACAGAATTTATTGAACAAGTTGAATAAAATTATATAATGCAACCCTCTGGAGAGCACAATATTATTTCATGCAGGAAGTTCAATAAATTCAATAATGAACCTACAAGAATTTAATATTCTATTTTATCACATTCCCAAAATAAAGACTGTTTAAAATGGACAAGAATCATTTTTCATTGACACCCTGATAGTGTAATTCTTACTAAGAGCGTCTTTGCACGATGTTTGCATATCGCAAATGATACCACGTCAAAATATATGCACGGCAGAGCAATACCAATTTCAACAGAGTTGAAAATTACTGGCATAAAGTTAAACTTGGTACATTATCATATATTTCATTTTCAGTACTGTCAACACCAGAAAATACAGTACCATCTTATTTCCTACAAAACTTCTACAAATAAAAACTAAAAACACTCAAATGCAATATGCGAGAACGCTTGTATTTAGGGACAATATACAAGATGACATAATAAACGTGCAAATATAGCATAAAGCAATAAATATTGTAATTGGTTAATAAATTTGATCTCTGTCATATAAATGATTTGCAAATCGTGGTCGACTCGTCCAGGAAAAACCCAAAACAAAAAACCCCTTTTAAAATTTTTGATTTGATTGCAGTGTTATTTAAGAGAAAAAATACTTGGAAACCTGTGCCCATTTGCCATCACAGGAAAGAGACTGTCAAATACCACCAAATATTGGGCCTCATTCTTGCTAAACATTTAACATTTATACAAAAATGATGTAAAGTGTCTACACTATGTTTCCGTTAAAAATTAAACAAAACATTTTATTTAGGCTAAGCTTGTACGCTTTTAAAAATTGTACTTTTCACAAAATAATTTTGGCATTGAATTTGAATGTGTGAGTGTCCCTAAGAGTTGCTCGCTAGAAACTGATTTTCGAATATGAAAACCCAGATTAAATACAGCTCGAATCATTCGAGCGAACAATGAATGTACATAAAACCGGTTTTGTATTAAAAACGCTAGTACAAAGGTACTCATCTATACATTGTAACGATGAGTACCAAATAATAATATTGGCTTTCATGATGTGTATTTGGTTACTGAAGGTACCAGGGTTTTCATTATTAAAGGATTGGCAATCCATATCATTGGCTGAAATGCTGATAAAACCAGTTGTATTTTCAGCCGAGGATCAAAATATCCCCTGGACTCTTGGCCAAATTGGTTGTTTTTGTTGGCATATCTGTTGCCTCAGATAGAAAATGAAAACCCTGCCTACCCTAGCAACCAGAAAATACATGGGCAATTATAAATACAATGTAACTTTACCAAATAATAAAGGGATCCAATATGACTGTAAATATATACTATATCTACTAAATATTCTGTGTAAATAATTATTTGGATTATTCCAAAACCATCTCTACACACGTATATATATGTAGTCTTGAAATATTAGATTCTTTTAATAAACAGGTATCTAACCATATACCATTAAGCATATTATTAAGCATGACTGTATGCTATGTTTGTACTACCCATATACTGTTGACATCGGCATGGATATGTGATATAAAAATTTCTTTTTTTTAGACAGCATAGACTAAATGGTTGCATATTGAAAATAGGGAAGAATATGGAAAATTAATGAAGTTTTGTGAATGTTATAAGAATATTAATGTAGTGAAAGGAGTGCTTAATGGGTAGACCATGCACCACTGACCATCACCATATCTTGGATCTCCTCGTGATGGCCCGTATCTGTCAAACGGCATATCCAATGGATCCCTGCGATCGCCCAGATCTCGTCTGTCTGCAGGATCACGCTCCCTGTCAGGTCGACCATATGGCCCCCTATCTCCCGCATCAGGAAACCCTTCCCTGTCCCCACGACCGTAGCGCCCTCTATCTTCAAAACTTCCTGGAGGCGGTGGTGGGTAGCGTGGGTCATCATATCTACTGTCCCTTCTGTAAATAAATTATGACAAAGTATTAAACATCTTTAAATTGAAATTATAAATTGTAAAAAATCTGGAAAACGGACAATGCTTAAATAAAGATCAATATGAATAGAGTAAATCAAAGACTTGTTTCATCAAGTCTGTACAGAATAGATAATAGTAAGTGGCATATCTCTCAGAACCATAGCACCAATCAGCAACACTTGCTCTTCAACACTAATAGTTTTTGAATCAATGAACCAAAAGGACCAGAAAAATACAACAACAATGCATAATCAGTTAAAATATTTAAACAACTTTGTTCAGCTTGCATACTATCTTTACTAAAAATATCATTAACAGACTAAGAGAACTGTCCTTTGCATATATTTTCTCATTTGGCTGTTTTAAGCAAATAAAAGAAAACACCATCACTGCCCTCCTTGGATATCATTCTTTAGGGACATTTTTTATTTTCTTGAAAGTGGAACCTCGACGTTACACAGAATTATGCCAAATTAAGAACTGAAAATATAGACTGCATTACCTGACATCATCTCTATATCTATCATCTGGATATCTGTCTCTCCTGTCCCCACTGGGATCTCTAGGATCCCTGACAGGTAGATCCCTCTCGAACTCCCTCCCTGATCCTGGTCGATCCCTCAGTTCCCTCACATCTCTTTCTCTAGGATCCCTCCGGTCTCGCAACTCTCGAGGGTCATCAATGGGATCTCTGCGGTCCCTAGGATCTCTTAAATCTCTAGGGTCCCTCAAGTCTCTAGGATCTCTTTCCCTCAAGTCTCTAGGATCTCTAGTATCTCTACCCTCCCTTTCCCTCAATTCACGTTCCCTCAGTTCCCGTTCTAATGGAGGGTCCCTCAGTTCCCTAGGATCACGGGCATCTCTAGGTTCTGGTCTAGCTTCCCTCAAAGTTCGTCCTTCTCTATCTCTCGACTCTATCCGACCCTCACGTGTTTCCCTCGTATCACGTTCTCTTGGGTCTCTTATCTCCCTTGGATCTCTTCCTTCACGCTCACGTGGTTCTCTCAAGTCCCGTTCACGTTCTCCTGGAAACAAGAAAAAATCATTTTCATCCTACAAACAAATTTTTAAAGATAGCACTTTAATTTAATCTGTAACATTCAACCAATTTTGTAAAATTATCAGTTCCATAAATGAACAAAAGAATCAAAAAGCTCAAATGAAACTGTTTCAATAACATCAGAGTGAGTGTGACCGACAGATGGAGGGATGGACATACAAACATATAGATACTTAGAGGTCTATGAGAACAATAGGTAACAGTAAATTTCCTTTGATGCTATTAATTTAGTAAGCTCTTTTGTGGCTTCTTTCTCTATTACGTGGCTAAATGAACAAAAATGTGTCCACTTCGATACATCCGTACACAAGATCCAAACATCATAAGGGGCCATTTCTTTTGTTATTTTATCTTGTTTTATAAAGGGACAATGGCTCATTACAGTTTTTTTTCTCTCTATTGTTCAGGAATGGACTCAATTGTTCTGTTTACAGTAAGATGGCCCACTATCCATATTCGGTAGTGCACATAGACAAGATGGTGACTATATACTCTCTCTGTTTGGGAACGTAAAAATCTTTTTAAAGATGCCGAATGATTAAATTTACAATGGTTTACCTCTGGCAGGAGGCTCTGGTGACCTTGCACGACGTTCTTGATATGTGTCCCTCGATCCTTTACTACTGGACGGAGATCTTGTTCTTGTATCAACTGAAACAAATTTTATAATATATTTTACAAAACTTTAAGTAAACAAAATTCCGATCGTAGATGTACCTGTCCAGTCTTAAAAACTCAAGAATTGCTTAATTCATTAACAAAACGGGAATACCAACAGATGCTTCCCAGCATTGCTTAGACAAAACTTAAATGCAATGCCAAGTTACATGTTTAGGAAAAGTAGTGGTATCAATTTCCAGCCTTAGGTCCAAGTTTGGTATCGAAAAAAAAGGAATAAGTAATAGTCAAAAATTCAAAGTGTATACTCATCTTTGGCATATATACTTCTGATGTGTTCACAAAGTTCGTAGATTCAAGTCCAGGCTAATATAAATCTAATGATATCTCAAAATCTCAAATCCTGTTTAAATAGCTAGCTGTAAGTTGTGAACATAAAAAATAATTTGAATAATTCAACTATATCTACCTAGTTCCCTCCGTGACACTCTTTCTAAACTTCGTTTCTCCTGTTTCCTTGTTGGTGGGGGAGATTCGGATCGTTCCCGTTCTTTTATCTTTTCTTTCTTATGTTTTCTTTCATCCTCACGCTCTGGTGACAAATCTCGTTCCTTCTTCTTTTTCTCCTTCTTTTTATCTTTCTTCTTCTTCACCACTTCTTGATTAGGCGAGAAATCTCTGTAATCAGACGTTGGAGTCAGATCTCTGTCGCGAGGGTCACGACCTCTTGTCCTTTCAAATGAACTATCTTTTGACCTTTCCATTGCTTCTTCTTTCTTCTGTTTCTTCTTTTTCTCCAGTTTTTTACACTTCTTACCATCTGGCGAGAATGACAACGACCTATCCATACTAACCGAACGCGACTTTGTCCTCCTTTTTGAACTCTTGACCTTTTCCGGTTTCGGCTCTTTCACGTACTCTGGAGAAACCTTCCTTTCTTTCTTTTTCTTCACAGGTGTGACTGATCTCTTCTCTTTACGTTTTTCAACTCGGTGATCATCCTCGCTTGAGCTAGACCTCGACCTTTGTAGCGAGGGTAAATTTGGAATTACGGGTATTGGCGACCTCGACGGCATGGGCAAGTTCATTTTTGGAGGCGGGGGAGCGTCATCATCATCTTCTGAATGAAAAGCTGTGATAGTCTTTGAAATAACGGCTTTTGTTGATTTCTTGAATTTTAAAGGACTGAGAAGTTTACGAGTCTTTTGTTCCGGTTCAGGGCTCCGGTCACCGTCGGACATAGAGTCTCTATGCTTCTTGTTCTTTGATTTCTTCTTGTGTTTCTTATGGGGCTCATCACTCTCGTATCTGTATTTGAATACAATGACTTTGTCATATATATAAATGATCATAATATTCCACATTTGTAACAAAGATTTTCATTGGATAATTGTGATGTTTAAATTACCTTTATACACTATTAGTTGCTACAAATCAATGTTTGATACATAAATTATAAACATTTTTAACATTTTACTCATTAACAATACAGTATCATTGAATTAACATTTGAGTTTTTATTAAACCAAGGCCTGTAATTTGCAACTGGTTGTAACAATCTAATGAGCAGAAAAATAATGGTATATCACATATTTCAAACATTTTAATTATGCAACAATACAGTACCCAGGGCTCGGACTCCGTCCTCCCTTTCCCTTGGCTGGTGACCTGGAATGTTTGTTTCTTTTCTTCTTTTTCTTTCTGTATGTGCAAAATAAAACATAATATATAGTTACCATGGCAACAGCAAGAAACATCAACAACATCCAAAAACAAATGTTATGATGCCCTATCTAATACACCTGTTTATGTTTTGCTATATTAAACTGAATGCATAACACACACAAATACAATGTGACAGAAAAAAATTCCACATTGTATAAAAGGGAGATACCAAAAAACTGTTGACATTTTGATCTAAGACAAAGAGTTGGTAAAACTTTGACACATCGAGCCTTAGACTCGTGAATCGGTCTCAATTTAATGACAAAATTTTCAGCCGTCAATGTTTACAAAATGCTTTACAAAAAGCTTAATCAATAAGGAAGCTTATAATAAATAATCCATTTGATTTTCACATGACACCAGGTCCCTGAAGTTCTCAAACGAAACTTATACAAGTAATGTTTTGATAAAGAATATATAGGGTAAAAATTGGTGACTGCATTTTATTTCGACACATCAAGAAAATGGACTAATTGAAGTTTGACACAAAGAAGTACTTCTGTAAATAACCTGTAGAAAAATGTAGACAATGAACCATAGACTTCAGGCTAATCCAAATAGCTCACCCTTGAGTTCTACACACTTTGGTAAGCTTAAATATTTATGTACAAATAATTCCAAATGTTTGAAGAAATCTGCCATAAAAGATATCTTATACAACTATTATGTTTGACTCTCACCCTGCCTTTCTGCTTCGACTACGACTCCTATCATCAGAGCTGTCAGACTCGGAACTGCTGACTCGTTGCTGTAATTACAAAACCCACAAATCATTTCCCGCAGTGCAATATTAGTCTATTAACTAGATATATTTATTTCTATCAAAATTCAATTTTTTTTAAAGTTCAAAATATTATATTCATTTTCTAGCTCAGTTATAAAAATAACTCCTTTTATTTAAACCCCTCTTGAGCTTCTACCTGAAATTACCATGTACTGGTGTAATTTGAGGTTAATATTTAATGGTTGTCACAATAGTCTCAGAACCAATGATCTCTGGCTAGATTTCAGATGGAAAGACCATTGAAATAAGAAGAAACAAGAACGTGTTTGTTAAACACAAATGCCCCCGGCTCAGATTCTTGTCAGTAACAATATTTAAAATAAAGGCTGTATGGGCAAAAGTGTAAAAAATCTATTTTTAGCACTGGTGACCTTGACCCAACTGACCCTACCTCCATCCAAATGAGAATACCTCAATTTTATGTTCCTACAAAATATACAAGACATCTGTCGATAGAATAAGGTTTAATACACCTGTAAAAGTGTAAAAAATCTATTTTAGACATTGGTGACCTTGACCCAAATGACCCCTTACTAAAGGAAAAGGAAGAGGACCTCCCTTGGTATGACTATTATAAACATGAAAGACATGAACTTAAAAATAAAGGCTGTATGAGCACAAATGTTTAGATTTTTTTTTTTTTACACAAGTGACCTTGACCTAGAGACGCCTAACGCCACAAATAATTAGAGGACCGTTAAAGGTATCCACCTACCAAATATGAAAGATATCATTACATAAATTAAGTAATTAGGTGAAATTTTTTGATAAATCCAACTTGGCAGAATAGGTTAACCATACAAGGCCCTATTTTCAAAGTGATAAAAAGGGAAATTACTGGGAAAATGGATGGCACATTTATATAACTTGGCAATATCATGTACATTGTATTGATAAGTAAGTGTGAAAATTATTAAGCCATTAGTTCAGATAGAACATAAGATATTTCCAACTTGCCGGTTTAGGTTAACCATTATTCATTTTCTAAGTGCTGAAAAGGGCCATAACTTGGTGCAAATGGAAGCCATAGTTATGTTACTTGCCGAGATCATATACTTTGTATGGATTAGTAAGTGTGTACATTATGAAGCCATTGGTACAGGTAGAACTTTAGAAAAATCCAACTTGCCGTTCTAGGTTAACCTAGTACGGACAGACGGACATACCAACATTTTGGGTTTAGGGGCTATTTTTTTATTATTTTCTTTGTTTTCTTAAGGGCTACTAGCCCATAAACCCTTTGATCATGGAATGAACCTTTTGTTCTCTTTTGTTCTCTTTACTATTACATAGCCCCTAAACCCAAAATGTTTGCTCGGACGGACGGTTCAATTACTATATGCCCGGGGGCATAAAAATCTGTTCTTTGAGAAATTGACTGTAATAGCGAACTGGTTGTGAAAAGGAGGTGGTTGTACAGCAAGACAATACTGTAGTTACTCCATATATGCAGACATGTTGCGTACTCATTGTTGACTACAGTGTAACTTACGAATTCTGGAATTTCTAAAATCCGGAAACTTCTGAAATCCGAACAATTTTAAAGCTTTCATCTTTTCTTACTAAAACTGCTGATGTTTAATGTTTCTATTTGTTCAGATAATTCCGAACTTCTGAATTCCGGAAACTTCCAAAATCTAAACTATTTGGCTAGACCCACAGGTGTTCCGTTTTCAGAAGTTACACTGTACAAGTAAAATACAAAACAAAATGTCATATCTTTGCTTATAATACCATAAGTTGTTGTCTCATCAATTTTTTCTCTATGATAAAGTTTTCCCTGGCTGGATCTTCCTCGTCCTCTAGACGGCTCAGTTCTCGCTGTAACTGTTGACGTCTCTTTTCTAGCTCTAGTTCTTTTTTAAAGTCAAGGTCTGAAATTTTCAATATTTACATTGATATACTCAGTAAACATTTAACTATTTTCCCATGCAGATTACAGGTACACTAAAAATTGTAAATGCTTTCAGTTCTATTAAAACTACCGGTACCTCACAACATTTATTTTCACCAAAATCTTAAATTCACAAAGTGACTTTAGTCAATGAAATTTAATCCCCAATGAAAATTTCTGATTTCATTATATCCATGTCCCAAATTCACTGCTATTTTTGTTAAATTTGTTATATTCCATTTTGTATTAGAATAGAGGTTTGAAAAATGTGAAATGAAGAGTATATAAAAACTTAGACTGTAAAAAATGCCAATGGTGTCAAATCATGGTCATTCAAAGGTAACAGTGGTTACTATACTTTCAGAATATGAGATTTCACTGTGGTCCACAAAGTCAACTTAATTATACATTTCAATAAAACAAAAAAATTTATTTTTACCGTCTCCAGACCACTGACTAGGCGACTCCGAATCACTTCCGACCATTCCTTTCTTTTTAATGATAGCTGATTTCAAAGCCGCGATTTTGTCTTTCTTTGACCTGCTTCTGCTACGTTCAACAGAATCATCGGAATCGCTTTTATCACCACCTTTGTGTTTCTTTTGTTTCACTCTAAGTCGCAAATCTTCCTGCCCCTCATCTTCACGCCTCCTTTAAATTGTATTACATTATTCGAAAAATAATAATATGTAAATAATATTATTCAAAGTTCATAAATTTTTCCACCCACTAACAAAAACAAGAGGGCCATGATGGCCCTAAGGTCGCTCACCTGTATGTAGGCCCCCGGAGCGGGGCCAGTTTAAACCCCAGGCCCCGTGTTCACAAAGAAAAGATCAGGATCAGGATCAGTTGATCCTGATTTTATTTTCATTGTTTTATAAAACTAAAACTAATCGTACTATGCTATGATTAAATGGTACATATTCAAATTTTAAATAATTGCTTATTTGCAAAGAAACTATCCTATTTTGGGATAAAATCAACAAATAAGAGAAAAAATACAAAAATAATCGGATCAAAATGAGGATCAACTTTAGGATCAAGATCAAAATTTGGATCAACTGTAAAATACCCATATCTTGTAAAAATAACAATAAATTCAGTCTAAAATTTCATAAAGATGCTATTTCAAGTCCAGTTTTATCAAGTTAACACTGGAAATTCAATCTAAGAGGATAAATAATGGAGAATATTCGAGATTTGAAATTTGATCCTGATCTTGATCCTGATCCTTAAATCTTTGTGAACACGGGGCCAGGGCTTTTATTTGAACAAACTTGGAAGACACCTATAAGAAGACGTTTCATGATGTACACACTTATAATGAAAAACAATGATCTGCCCTCCCCTACCCCCGGCAGGGCCAATTTTAACCAAGGGCTTTTATTTGAACAAACTTGGTAGACACCCATAAGAAGATGTTTCATGCTAAACATCTAAGCTCTAGCTCATTGTGTTTTTTTAAAGAAGATTTTTCAAGTTTTTACTATACACATATAGTTAAAAACAATGACACCCCTGGGGCGAGGCCAGTTTTGACCCCAGGGCTTTTATTTGAACAAACTTTGTAGACACTTACTAGAACATGTTTCATGCTTAATATCTAAAACTCTAGCTATTTGGGTTTTTTTTCAAAAGATGTTTTTTTTAAGTTTTTCCTATACACTTATAAGGAAAATCAATGACCCCCAGGGCAGGGCCAATTTTGACCCATGGGCTTTTATTTGAACAAACTTTGTAGACACTCACTAGAAGATGTTTCATGCTTAATATCTTAACTCTAGCTATTTAGGTTTTTTCAAAGAATACTTTTTAAGTTTTTGATATACACATATATAAGGAAAATCAAGGACCCCGGGGCGGGGCCAATTTTGACCCCAGGGCTCTTATTTGAACAAACTTGGTAGACACCCATTAGAACATGTTTCATGCTAAATATCTTAGCTCTAGCTCTTTGAGTTCTTTAAAAGAAGATTTTTTAAGTTTTTACTATAAACATGTACATATCGGGAAAATCAATGACCCCCTGGGGTGGGGCCAATTTTGACCCCAAGGCTTTTATTTGAACAAACTTGGTAGACACCCATTAGAACATGTTTTCATGCTAAATATCTTAGCTCTAGCTCTTTGTGTTCTTTTAAAAGAAGATTTTTTAAGTTTTTACTATATACATATAGGGAAAAATTCAATGACCCCCTGGGGCGGAGCCAATTTTGACCCCAGGGCTTTTATTTGAACAAACTTGGTTAGACACCCATTAGAACATGTTTCATGCTAAATATCTTAGCTCTAGCTCTTTTGGTTCTTTAAAAAGAAGATTTTTTTAAGTTTTTACTATATACATATAGGGAAAATCAATGACCCCCTGGGGCGGAGCAATTTTGACCCCAGGGCTTTTATTTGAACAAACTTGGTAGACAACCATTAGAACATGTTTCATGCTAAATATCTTAAGCTCTAGCTCCATGAGTTCTTTAAAAGAAGATTTTTTTAATTTTTGCTATATGCATACAGGGAAAATCAATGACCCCCTGGGGCGAGGCCAATTTTGACCCCAGGGCTTTTATTTGAACAAACTTGGTAGACACTCATTAGAAGATGTTTCATGCTAAATATCTTAGCCTCGCTCTTTGGGTTCTTTAAAAAAAGATTTTTTAAGTTTTTACTATATGCATATAGGGAAAATCAATGACACCCTGGGGCGGGGCCAATTTTGACCCCAGGGCTTTTATTTGAACAATCTTGGTAGACACTCACTAGAAGATGTTTCATGCCAAATATCTAAGCTCTAGCTCTTCGGGTTCTTTAAAAGGAGATTTTTTAAGTTTTTTACTATATGCATATAGGGAAAATCAATGACCCCCTGGGGCGGGGCCCAATTTTGACCCCAGGGCTTTTATTTGAACAAACTTGGTAGACACCCATTAGAACATGTTTCATGCTAAATATCTTAGCTTCTGGCTCTTTGAGCTCTTTAAAAGAAGATTTTTTAAGTTTTTACTATATACATACAGGGAAAATCAATGACCCCCTGGGGCGGGGCCAATTTTGACCCCAGGGCTTTTATTTGAACAATCTTGGTAGACACTCACTAGAAGATGTTTCATGCCAAATATCTAAGCTCTAGCTCTTTCGGTTTTTTAAAAGAAGATATTTAAAGTTTTTTCTTTTGGTTGCCATGGCAACCAGAGTTCTGCATGGAATTAAATTCTTTGAACAATTTTTAAAGGTGACCACCAAAGGAACATTCCTGTGAAGTTTGGATGAAATTGGCTTAGTGGTTTATGAGGAGATGTCATTTAAAGTAAAAGTTTACGGACGGACGCCGGACGAAAAGCGATCACAAAAGCTCACCCTGTCACTTTGTGACAGGTGAGCTAATAATAAGAGTGGGTATAAATATTAAAAAAAAAAAAAAAAAAAAATTAAAAAAATTAAAAATGAAATTTGAGAATCACTTGAAAGAAATGTTTTGTGGTCGAGTTGTAAGTCATTGAGTCATAACAACATTGTAAAGGTATTATGCTGACTTTCCAATTTCAAAGAAGATGGCAGAAGATGCAATCACATATACCAGAGTAGAACCACAACCAGGCACAAGTTAGCAAAATAGATCGCCCACATGAAAGAATCCATAGCCCTGGTAGGATTTGAACCCACAATATTGAGTGGTAATTGATTTAACAAGCATCGAAAAATATTTTCAGAGTCACTCGTCCTGCAGGACGATAAGCTTCTAAATCCAATCTGCGGTAACATTTTTCTACTCATCCTGCATCAAGTGCTCTTAAATTCTACTCGTAATTACGAGCAGACGAGTGGAATTTTCTATCTCTTTTTTAATAGACTTGTCCAGCTCCTATTTCTAGAATTATCTATTATCAATATTAGGGGTATAATGGCTCTGTACTATGACTCTGTGCAATGGCATATCACTTTCAGTTATAGCAGATTAAAGGTTTAAATACAATAAATACCCTTTATGCTTCGATGATGAAGTGTATGGTCCATGAAGAAACTTGCATTTATTTCCATATGGACAGGAGCCAGTGCTGACCCAATTACGACATCTCTGCACATATTCATCACGCTGTATCAATATAATGGTTATAAAGAGACATTTACAAATACATATTTAAACTCAGGCAAATGAATGACAAAATATTAAATTTATCATATTTACTCAAATCACTTTAAAATGGAGTTTTTAAAAGTCCAAGAATGTTTTTTTTCCTGTATAAATACTATAATATAATGTGAGTATGACAGGTAAATTAATAAAATATAAAATAAATCTACATAATTTTATGTTGAACTAAATGAAGACGCAGACAGAATCAACGAGTAGTTTTAAAACAAGTCATTTGACAATAAAAAACACTGGAAGTTAAAAAACAGATATTGTGAATATTGTAAGATTAAAACAAGTCTAAGTTGCTCATTTGACAGGTTTTTTTACATTCCTGTAGTTCACTGTGATAACCATCATGAAATCTAAATGCTCTAACCTGACCCACGTGGGTCAGGTTAGGAAACCAACATTTTTTTCTTTATATGCAGAAAATGTTGTTCCCTAGACTGCTAAGTGTATTCATTTAATGGACATTTAACATTTATAGAATATTTATTTGAAACAAGGAGTGTTCATGAGAACACTAAAAAATTATTTTGCACTTTATGCGAACTATTTACAAAAATCTACTAAATATATAACTACATCATTATGAGAATATTATGCTTGCATACATTTCTTGCAAATAGTAAAAGGCAATAATGAATTCAGTAACATACCTTCATTGATTGTTTATATGCAATGTGCTATTCATTTGTCCATTTATTATTCTTATTTTGAAATATTGCATGTGCGCAACAAATATCAAACAAGAGCACCGCTAGGAGGAGCATTATAAGCCCGAAAGTAAGGATGAAGCATTTGTAAAACATAGGAAGTAAATACAGTATTACCATCCTCCTATATAGCTGAAGAACCATCATATATAAACAGTTGCTGTTTTCAAAGCACCACCATCAATTTGTTATCTTGTAAGTAAAAATGCTGACCTTGACCTTTGACCTTGTGACCCCAAAATCATTAGGGGTCTTCTTTCCAATATGGACAATCATCCTATGAAATTTGAATACTGTGTAAGTATGCTCCGGAAACCATTTTCAGTTTTAGGGTCATAGTGACCTTGACCTTTAACCTTGTGACCCCAAAATCAATAGGGGTCTTCTACCCAATATGGACAATCATCCTATGAAGTTTGAATACTGTGGGCCAAATGGAACTTAAGTTATGCTTCGGAAACCAAATTGCTAACGGACGGACAGACGGACATACTCACAAAATGGTACTTATGTGACTTTTCCTTTGGCTTTGATCATTTTGGCCATTTTTAGTCACACAAGGCTTAAAAAAAGACACACAAGTAAAAACGTAATGAATAGGACTAAAGAGAATCTACTGTTACCCATTGTTCTCCAAGTTACACAAGTACCTCTGGGTTCGTATGGATGGACAGACAGAAAGACAGACGGATGGACAGACAGACCCCAGAGGTATTACATAATATGCCCGAAATTTTTTCTGGCATATAACAAACTTGCAATACAATTTATGCATTTGTTAAATAAATTATATATCTAAAAACTTTCAAATACTTCTTTGACATTGTATGGAGTAGTTCCATTGGTCTGAGATTTCAAATGACCAATGAAAATACTTTGTACAAAAATAAAAGGGGTGCAATCTGCTACACCAGTTTTTTTCATTATTTGACATATCGGAAAAAAAGGTTTGTTATATGCGTAAAATTCCGAGCGGGGGCAAAGGCCCCGCGTGTGCTGTAGCACTCTTTGATAACATGTATGACGCGTATCAATGCAAATGAAATCAAATTAAAAGTAAATGAAAATTTCAAAAAAATATATATCCTATACTAAATGAGCTGTGAAAAAATCATTAGTTAACTGGGCGCTGCCATTTTGAAATCCTTTTGAGCTAAATATAGATTTCAGAGCACTTTTAGTAAGCGTCTACATAATTTAGACTATTGCTAGCAGACGCATGCTAAATAACACTTCCGGTGAAAGAATGATGTGCAAAATCAGAAAGTAAACATGCATTTCATTGATAATTACTATAGTAACGATAATAAATATAAAAAGTTACTTTAACATAATTATCCTTTTTGATAAATTAGCCCATTAAAAAACAACGTTAAAACAACTACTGTGATTAGAGATTAACAAAAATGGCGGACGGGATTTTCCAAACGCAGAAGCATGTGCAGTGGTCCCCCTTTACGTTTGTAGATTAATGGAATGGTCCGAGCGTCCGATGATAGGTTGAACACCACCAATTTATTCTTTTGTTTAAAGAAAGATCTCTAAACATGTTATGCGAAAATCATAATTCATAAGAGCTTTCCGCGCCATAGGTAGCACCTAATTTCATATTAGTTTCATATGATGATTCCATACTATTAAAGCAAGCTTTACGGTAACGCGAGTACCTGCTAAGTGATGGTTTTGAAAACTTTCGTCCGAAGTACCAAATTGGAAACATCACAACTTTTTAAATTACAAGATAACGATAAAAGCCGATGTACTTTGATTGAAAACGGAAGCGTTGACTGGTGTCCTGCGCACTTATAGCGAGCTCGACGAGCTGGCCCGAAGGGCCTGCTTGAATAGCATTTGAAATCCTTTTGAGCTATTCGAGGCAGGCCCTTCGGGCCAGCTCGTCGAGCTCGCTATAAGTGCGCAGGACACCAGTCAACGCTTCCGTTTTCAATCAGAGTACATCGGCTTTTATCGTTATCTTGTAATTTAAAAAGTTGTGATGTTTCCAATTTGGTACTTCGGACGAAAGTTTTCAAAACCATCACTTAGCAGGTACTCGCGTTACCGTAAAGCTCGACGAGCTGGCCCGAAGGGCCTGCTCGAATAGCGAGCTTTACGGTAACGCGAGTACCTGCTAAGTGATGGTTTTGAAAACTTTCGTTCGAAGTACCAAATTAGACACATCGCAACCTTTCGAATTTAAAGATAACGATAAAAACTGAGGATTTCTGACTGAAAACGGATGTGTAGACTGGTCACCCGCGCACGTCTATGGGAACCATAATTGGACAGGAAACCAGAATAACGGAAGCTGTCGATAAAATATCGAATTGAAGGCGCCATTTTGTTTGAAAAATCTGATAAATTAAAACATTTTTTTGTCGAATTTTGTTGTGAAAACTATCTAGAATGAAAGAAAATGGTCTAACTAAGAAAATGAATTTGAACACCAATATCTTTTATTCAGTCGTTAACGCTGTACAGACGTTTAAAGTATTGTTTACGTGACGTCACAATGTAGCGCCAAACAGCACGTGCAAAACAAACAAATCAAGTACGCTATTTTAATGTCGCAAACGTTTTAAGTTTTACATTTATTTCACTTTTAATAATCTTTATTTTGCTTGAAAAATTATAGAGTGAAATAAATTAAACAAAGTTTTACCAACGTTTTCAAAACTCGTTATTCATTTAACGACAGGGGCGGAGCCATATTTAACACAATACGTGTAACGTCACACGCACTCGTCACTGCATTTGAAATAAAAATGAGCGATTATTTCATACTATTTCACGTTAAAAGTACATCGAGCTCGCTTTGAGGCTTTGCCTTTTTCATATTACGGGGAAGTCAAAGACCGGGCCCGCGAAGCGGGTCCGGGCTTTGGCTTGCCCGGCTATAGACTACACGTGTATATTTAAAAGAAAATCAAATAAAAAACAATTAAAAAATATATAGAATTCTATACCTATGAAATTTTCAGTGTCAGTTCTAGTCGGGCGCCGCCATTTACAATGTAATGCAATGATAATAGGCGGGGTATTCCGATAACGGAACAAATCTCAACTTTTCGGATAAATGATTATGGTCGAGTGTTCCGAGTGAAAACGAAAGCGGTGCATATCCACATACTGCCAGTTTTCAATCACAACCACTTTTCAATCATCCCTCGGATTTTTTTATTTTTGACCTTATTTGTCATGTAACCAAACTGTAAGCACATCTTGTAGTCACCTTGACTAAATTTATCAGCAGCAATGTCAATTATGGCGATAAAAAAGAAAATGCTAGCATTTTAGTTCAAAATATGTAAAATGTGTGTTTTCCACTAATCCTTTATTTACCCAGTTACAAATCGCAATAATTTTCTAAAAATAATTGATTTACAGACTCAGTTTTTTGTCAGTCTGCAGAAATGGATATTAAGTTGGACAACTGTTTCAATATCATGAAGTCATTATGTTTGCTACACTTCAAAAGCTGTAATTTTAATATGTACATATTTTACCATACAGTTTTTAATTGGAAGGTAATACATCAGTAAAGTAACAGTCACTTAACCAAGGAAAAACATTCTCTGTGAGTGTGATAACTTTTCAGTAAGGAGTCACTAGAATGGGGTCATATAGACCCCAAGATCCTAAATATTTCACAAAAACATGCTTTTTCTGTTAAGCAAATTGAAAAGTACATCCATACCCCAATTGTGACAGCTTTACCACTGCAAATAGATATCTAGATTGAAAAATGGCATTATAATTAGGTTAAAATTGTTTATTACCATTTATCTGAAGTTGAGTTTGTCAAAATTTCTCCAAAATACAGAACTAATTATATTTTAACATTGTATGACAATTTTTATGTGGTACAGTTTATATTTTGTTAACTGATTGAAAAGTGGTTGTGAAATTTTGAAGAACTGGAAAATGGGTCAGTAATGATTTGTCCTCGATTCATAGTAATAATTGAAGTGAAATTTTAAAAAGTTGGTGCATTTATTAGCTGAAATGATAATATTCGCAGAATTGAAAGAGAATTTATTTTATATATAATTTCACTGTCAGTTATTGTTGAAAAATCTGTTAGCTGATCGGAAAGAGGCAGTACGGGGATATAATACCAAATGACACCTTTAAAACGGAAAGAATGAAAGGAATTTTTAACGACTTCCCCGCTCATACTCATAGGCTTTGCCTAATTTCATATTAGAAAGGAAGAACCAGAATAAACGGAAGCAGTGTATAAAATACCGAATGACAATTTTAAAACGGAAAATGTAAAATAAAAATGAACGATTATTTTAAACTCTTACGGTAAAAGAATATCGAGCTCGCTTTGATTATTTGCCTTTTTCATATTATGTAGAAATATCTCTTGAAATAAACACCACATTGTGATTGTGGTGTATATAATATTAACTACAAATCATACGCAAAGAACAGCAAAAACTCTACTGTCTGGGGTGTTTTCAGTGTAAAAAAATAGGAAGTGGCTAGCCGTACGGGCCCGTACGGCTAGCCAAAAGTTCTAGCCGTACGTGAGTCACGTACGACTAGCCTGGACACACTGTATTGGCTAGCCGTACGGCACTTTTCAAAATTATATGGAAGTCGAAAATGCATATGTTATTTTGTGTCTTTAAACGACGATTTTAATCAAATCTCCGCATTTGTCCTAGTGTGTTCACTTTAATAAAGATGCTCCGCAATTTTGCACAAAAAAAAATGAATACGAGTAAGCGTAAAAAAAATTAAAATAAAATTAATAAATAAGAAAATTAAGTGTCAAAGTTGCATGTTATAACGTCCTTAATTTTCATGCTTATGATTTGTATGAAAGATGAATTGTTAAATCTGTTAATTAAGCACATGGATCGAATAAATAATGATCGGAGGGGAATAAATAAATAAATAAAAAGAATATTAAAAAAACGGTGAAAAGGAAAAATAATTTAATAATGCAAACTTTCCTTAATGATGGACGATGAACAAACTTCTATACCGTCGGTATTTGACGCAATTATCAGAGCCCGACAACAATTATTTTCGGTGGTTTTTTTGTTTTTTTGTTTTTTTTTTTCAATTTAAAAATTAAACTTAATGAAACAAAAAATGATTATTATCAAAATTTTGTAAACTATTTCAATTGATGTTATTTAACTGCAACCAAACGCTATTTTTTCTCGACGTCTTGTGATGACAAAGTACGTACATTCTTTACTGTAGCCAACACGTCGATTAATCTCTAAAAAGTAAACATTCTTGACTAAAATCCTCGCTTAAAGTCATAATTAACATATGCACTTTCGCCTTCCATATATTTTTGAAAAGTGCCGTACGGCTAGCCAATACAGTGTGTCCTGGCTAGTCGTACGTGACTCACGTACGGCTAGAACTTTTGGCTAGCCGTACGGGCCCGTACGGCTAGCCACTTCCAAAAAAATATCTTTTAGAAAAAAAGTCTCACATCAGAATCAGAATCGTCGTAACTTCCAACTTGTCGTCGGACAGCTCCAGGACCGAGTCTTTCAAACACGCTGGGTTTTTTCCTATCATCAGACGATCCACTTACAGGATCAACTGTCACCTTTCGCTTTATTTTACTCATTTTTGTGTTTTACATAAAATGTTTTTTCAAAACTCGGCCATGATGCCGGTGCGATAAATTATACTTTTACGTTGTGAAAAATGATATTTCAGCGAACTGTCATAAAGCAGCGGTATGGCCGGTGATGGCTACCGAAAATTAGATATTTTCGCGAAAATAAGACCGCGGCTACGCATATAAGATCTATAGGAAAATAAGGTCAATTGTTAAAATAACCTCTTTACGAAAATAAGATATGTATGGGAAAAAATCAAAGCACAGAATACGCTGAATTTGTTTGGGAAAGGTGAAGGTTGTGAGATTATAAACCAATTTGTTTTTGTATAGTGCCACCAATGCTGTTTAATTCAAGTGTAAAATGTGTTAATTTTCTTTAAACCCTATATTTATGCTACAGTAGCTGAGTCTTAGTTGTATGATCTGTATGCTTTGTTCATATTAAAACTCCTTATTCCCCATTCCATTAGGCTGTGCATGCAACTTAATTTTAGTTAACTTTGTTTGTTATCCTGAATGTGCTTTATCTTGTTTCTTTTTTATGCTGTATTAGTTCTATCATAAATTTTTATGCACTTTTATAAGTAAGTTTTATTTATCTATTTATTTATTTATTTATTTTTTAGGAAACCTTCAATTACGTTTTTATAAATTGTAGATGTTAACTTAAAACTATTACTATTTTTATTAATTTTTAAATTTTATAAGATCTATTATTCTTATTTAACATTGCTATGTATCATACTTTAATTTCTAGACTACAATCATTTATTACTTTTAGAAACTGTTATTACTTTTAATACAACATGTACTGTGCATGTCATCAAACTATGCCTTAATTTACCATCTTATTGTGAAGTTCTTCTTAACCTTGATACTTTTATTTCATGCTTAAAGCTGCTAATAGTTTATATGTTTTTACTTTCAGAACTGTTATATGTTAGTAAATATGTTTTATGCCTTTGTTATTGTCGGTAAATAGCTTATTAGCTAATGTTTATTGTAATATGTAAACCGACTTAAAATAAAGTTTCTTGTATCTTGTAGTGTTATGATTGTAGTAAATTGGCTTTAAGACTAATTGCAACACTGATATTCAATTCAATGTTTATTTGGCTTAAACAATTAAAAAAAAAAGCAAAAAAAAACATGAGTTGCCTTAACTTGGATTTGAACTCCAAACCTCTCGCTTCCTAAGCGAGCATGTAAAACCCTCGACCACGGGGAAGACTAAAGATAACAGTCTGAATAAAACCGTATTATTCCAAATTAAGGTTTGTAACCCTTATTAATTTCGATATATTTCGTTCACGGTAAACCTGTTGTTTAACACTGATGTAAATAATCATGGAGCTTAATATAAGCATGTATATCTATAAGAATAACACAAGATCCAAACGGCGACTATTTTTCTCCCCCGAGAAGGCTCGAAAATTAATGCGCCTGTCATTTGACAATCTTTACGCAGTGATCTCCCCTTAATTTTTCGGCGTAAGTGTACATATAAAGGGAAGTAACGGCTTCGAGGAGTTAGGACTACTTTCGGTTTTTGCAAATAAGCACATCAGGGTCTGAAATTTCGCTACCATTATTTGTTTGGTCTGACAACCCAAACGAATAAAAAAAGTAAAATGAAAAAACGGCACATATATATATATATATATAGATAACACTTGATAAATATAATTGTTATAACTTTGTTTTTCAACAAACAAGCATACAGTATAGTCACCCAGTAGTATATCAGTAAGACAGAATGTGATATTTTTTTGGAAGTTGGTAAACTTTTTAATTTTTTTCAAAGGACCTAAACTTTTCGTTGGCAAAAACTGTTTCAAAACGTTCTTTTAACCAAATTACAATAAGGTAGTTAGAATTGTATTGACCACTTGGGAATTCTTTTGAAAAATTGTTTGTTTTTTTTGTCAACAAAAAATAGATAAAAGATGTAAAAGAAATTATTGATGCTAATTTTCCGATCATTTTTTAACTTAATTTTTTTTGTCGACTTTATCTACTGTTGTGGGGTAAAAAGGCCATGTTTTGTATACCTCATTCAGGACCTTAAAGGAGTACCAGTTTCTTTTTTCATACATTATTTTTGTAGTGCAAAGTCTTTGAACTGTAAAGTCTTTGAACTGAACTTTGGTCAGGTGGTTCAATATTTAAAATATACAGGAAGATAATTAAGATATTGCAAAAATATATGATTTAGTGTCAGCTCGTTATCTCTCCAACCAGTATAAAAAAGATCTGTATGAAAATTATATATACGAAAACAAAAGATATATGATAATAAGTTCATATGAAAAATAACATCTATATTTGACTAAAATACGAAAGTGACTTTTTCTGACGAAAGTGGGTAAAAGAATGAAATATAATGTTTATATTTATATTAATATTGCAGTTTGTACGCATATCTTATCAAAAAAGAATAATATTTATTTTCAAAAATAATCATTATGGTTATTCTCCATTTATTTGCTTAATTTCTATATAAATCTATTTTCCATTAATATCAAATCCCTCACGGGAAATTAGACATGTCTGCTCGTCGAAATAGTAGGCAAAGTTAAAAAAGAAAATAATAGAAAAATATTGAAAATGGTAAAAAACAAGGGGTGGGCTTGAAAACTATGGTGAGACATGGTTGATGTAATGTACGGCTGCACTGAACTTCTCAAGAGTATGGTGTAGAGCAGCTGCAGGGGGTATGTGGTTCCAGTGGCATATAAAGTCCTAGGAAAAAATGAGAATTTATAATAGTCTGAAGTTGCTGAGAATAATCTGTAACACAGTGGATGGCCATGGCGTGATGTTCGGTCACTTATTCTTCTATGTGGATAGCAAGCAGACGATAGTGAATCTTTTAGAAAAAGGGATAACCTCCCAAACAAAAAAATACATCAACAAATCATATCAAAATTGTGAATAAATCTGGAATAAATCATGTTTTCCTGATTTGTTAATACAATTTGTTCATGATTCATTAAATGAATCATACATAAATTGTGCTTTTACTGGAAAGTAAAGACCCCATTTATTATAGATTCATTACAAAAGACAGATTTATTAACCATTGATTACAAACATGAAATATATTCAATACAATTTATTGCAAATTCATTACACTTGTACTGGAATGTATACAATTTATTCATGATTTATTGGTAATAGAACTTTTTCCGACTGCATTTAATACCATTTATTACAAATTCATTACACTTTAAAGTTCTAAGATATTCACAAGTTGTTTAATCAGAGATTTTCCAGGATTTATTCAATACAATTCATAACATATTCATTGTACTTCAGATGTTCATAACTTGCTTATAACAGAAATTTCCAATTGATTGGCCTGATTTGTTGATAATTCATTGACTAAGTCAAGAAAAGGACCAAATTCATTACCCATTTGTTAACCTGATTTATTAACAATTTATAATAAGTTGGTAAATAGACCCAATTCATTACCAATTCATTTCACTGATTTATTAACAATTTATTTATAATGTATTGGCTCATTTGCATGTCATTTCCATCTATAATAAATTGTGAATAAATGGTAAATTTGTTTATCATTTATTATACTGATACATTCCTATCTTTTTTTTGTTTGGGCTAGCATCTATACTTCTTAAAGTTTGGTCTCTGACTCCATAATCGTGTATTTTTAGCAGTACTCGCTCATGACTGACCTTATGAAAAGTCTTACTGAAATCTAAGAGAATCAGATACTAGTATACTTGTTGTTTTCCTCATAGACTGAGGTGGCTGGGTCATTTACCAATTAAGTTGCGTAACACATGATCTTTTTTCCCCTGAAACCATGATGGAGGTGGTAAAGGATGTTATGGTTGGTAAAATGTTTGATAATGGAAGAGGCCACTATGTGTTCCATAACCTTAAACAAAACACATGTTAAGGAATTTGGCCTATAATTGGCAGGGATTGACCCATGGCCTTTCAAGATCGGGACTACAAGTGCAGATTTCCATTGGAATGACAATGAGTATTCATCGATGGACTTTTAGGATATAACCTCTAGGATTTGATAGAGCTCTTTTGAAAGTGTGTTGAGAATTATTAGGTTACTTTGGATGAAATCTATTTTTCAGTGAAAGAGTTAAAAGAATCTGAGAAATTTTCCAACAACTCCTCTACATTTAGCGCAGAACATTTTCAATTTGTCCTGTCCCAAAATATGGTCCGCCCTGTCCAAATATAAGGTCCGCCCTGTCTCACGGTCCGCCCTGTCCTACGACCGTCTATCAGTCTAGGTTTCATGTCGAATGTCTAAGCTCTAGCTTTCTCCTTTAGGGTGTGAAAAAGAATTGTGGTTTTGTGCCATACTGGTTTCCTAGCAATTTCTGACCCAAAATCGCACTTTTTAACAAATGAAATGAAAATCTGTTTACGGACGAGTATAAAACTTTTTTTAAACAGAACAAAGTTAGGTACCTGTCTAGCATTACCATAGTTTCAACGTTTCTCTTTTACTTTAATTTTAATTGGAATATACAGGAGGCCCGAATGTAACATCTTTTCTCGCTTTTATTCAAAATTTCATAGCAGTTTTTCGGACCTTTTTATTTTGAATATAGATTAGTACGAATTACGGACAGGGCGGACCGTGAGACAGGGCGGACCGTACCAGGGCGGACCGTGACTCGAGACTAGGCGGACCGTATTTTTGGACAGGGCGGACCGTCACTCGAGACGAGGCGGACCGTGATTTAAAAAAGTATTTATATGTGGACTAATGTAATTATTGATGTTTTTGTTCTTCGTATTGATATTTCAATTCAAATATTCAATTAAAAATATAAAATACAGTAAGTTTTAAAAGTTCTTTGATGTGTCTTATTGTTTAATAAATTCTATTTCAGTGTTCATTTTATTTCATGTGTCTGTGCTTATTATGTAAATTTTAATAAGATAGTTTTGTTTTTCAAATATGTCACTTCATTTTTTTGTTATTGTGTTGAATTGCAAATAATTTTAATGTGATGTTATTCGTTATCATTGTTATTTCGTGTATTGTACAACAAAATATGTTTTTTTATGTGTCTAATTGTTTAATAAAGTTTATCAATTTTAGCAGCGTTAGCGCCTTATACAAACAATAACATTGTTATATCCCGATAATTGGCCAATTATCACTTGCGTAAGTCGACGCAGATACAAATAATTTCTTGAGAATTTTTTTTAAACTACTCTTAATATACTGAAACAAAAAAGAAACTTTCTCCACGTTTGAATGTAGATATGTTAGTACAGTTTTTCAATCCTTTTGAAACTCGATTTTTACGTTGAATAAACATTTCGGGCTTTTATACGGGGATTAGCTGACCGATTGTGCAAACAAAACGAGTTTTTCGAGCTACTACATACAAGTGTGTACATCTATGTGGTACCCTTGACAACTGGCACATGATACTTTGCGAAAGTTTCCTTTTTTTTGTTCAGTATATATATTAGAGGTGTCATTGATTCAGTGCAAAGCATATCAGCGATATATCGATATCAAGTAACTAAAATCAACGATACACCGATATATTGATAATATCCTATACTCACTTGTCTGTCATAAACTTTCATACAAGTTTCAATGATTTCAGTCAAAAACATGTTCTGTACAGTGTCTTGTCCACTGCATGATTTTTTCTAGACAATATTTTTTGTCACCATTGCTATGAAATAATTCCACTATATAACAAAAGCATCACATTTGATATAAATAATTGTTTCTGCATATATTTTGGGTGAATTGTATAATTTCTAGACATTTAATTTAAATGTATCGATTTTTTAAAATGTGTATCGATTATTGATCGACAAAAAAATATCAACGATACATCGATATTGTCGATATCGATGACAGCTCTAATATATATGTTTCAATCTTTCAATATATAATATTGTTTATTCTTATATTCTTAAACCATGTACATTTGTTTTTTTCTTTATCATTTTTAATTATCAACCAATTGAATAATCCATAAAATCTAATTTGTAACTTTGAATGATTCCTCGGCATAGGTTTTTGAACGAATTATATTTAAGTTTTTGTTCAATTTTCTTGAAGATAACAACTTCTTTCTTCTGTATAATCAGACCAGCTGAATCAAAGGTAAACCAGTAAACAGTCTTGTACAACACATTCTGTATAACTTTATTTGACGGACTAGAAATTACAGCTGTACTCTTTGATATAAGTAAAGCTTTTTGATAAAGTTGAACACGAAGATCTTCTCTTTAAGCTGAAAGCTGCTTGGGGTAATCGGTCGTCAGCAGTCACAAACATCTTGACCTCAACCTTTCGTGGCATTGTCACATTAACTGAATTACGAACAGTTGCTTCCTATACATCTGACTTATTCACATTTAAGTTATTTCTTCTTTTCTATATTTCTGAAAGTTTCTCCCTCATTATATATCTCTTTCTCTCTTTATTTAATTTATTTCCCTTTAATTCTATTTAACAGAATGATAGGTTCTTGTACTATCGATTCTTCTTTACTTTGTTTATATTTTTGCTCCAGATTAGAAACAATTTTGATTTTAATTACTTAAAAATAAGGATGTAAGTTCAGTTATATTTCAAGCAAGTCACATATGCTGTCATACAGTATTTTATTCATTGTAAATCTGTAAAAAGGCCTTTATAAATTCAACTTTCGGACCCAATCCTTCTTTTAAAAAACAATTTATGTCTGTATTGTGTACTTTAATTATTGGTATAATTTCAAGGGGCAGGACGTGAAGTGGTTGCACACTTGGCTCAAGCGAAAAAATAGTTGCAAATTTGACAAAATGGTTATCGAGTAATGGATATTTACAACCCCGGCACATATTTTCTACAGGAAAGTGGGTTTGTATGCTCTTTTGAAAAATATTAATATGTCTATTCCTTAAGACAATGTTTTTGACATTCTCGGTTTTGGGTCTCAGCTTCCTAACAAAGGTTTTATACTAAAAAGTATATTGCTCAAGCACATTTTGGTTGCAAACTTGTACTTCAAGCATTAATTTTCCGGTTGCAAACTTATTCTTACTTTTTTAGTCAAATATAAAACTGCTATTTAAAGGATTCAACGAAGATCATATTTATTAGTCACAGATTTTTCCTTGACAATTTTATACCATTGTGTTATTTCACTTGCTTTTAAAATGTTTTATACGGCTTTAAAATTTTAGTGGTTTCTGTACTGTTCAAATCTTATCATTTATTTGCACGACTATACTCTATGTTCCGGCTTTTGTGCCCTCTCTTGCTTTTTGTTGGGTACCCTACTGAGTGCCTTTGCGGTAGTCCAGTGTGGGGACTGCATTCTCTGAATGTTACTTAGCATTGTTGATCCTTGTTGTATTTTCTTGTTGCATATCCATGATAAACGTGCGTAGTTCTTTTAATTGCACGTTTCTCAGCCCATTAATGAAAAAGCCAGGGGTGTGGTAAACTGGAAATATGATTTTTTGCCAATTGCCCACGGACAACAAATGGAGCAGAAATTATTACTCGTCCATGTTAAAGAAGTCAACATTTAACATGCAGATTTCTTTTTTTTTCCCAGGGAGGAACCCGATCCAGTTTTAATGGCGAGTCATATTATTACATTAGTACACATATAAATACTTTTTTAAATCAAGGTCCGCCTAGTCTCGAGTGACGGTCCGCCCTGTCCCAAAATATGGTCCGCCTAGTCTAGAGTCACGGTCCGCCCTGGTACGGTCCGCCCTGTCTCACGGTCCGCCCTGTCCTGCAGGCATTAGTACCAGTGCAGTAAGAGATGTTGAGATGATTTTATCACAGAAATAGAACTGACCAACCTTTTCCATGTCGTCTCGAAATATATTGTTCAAAAGTATTATTTACCTGGAATTGGGTCATTGTGAAGGGCATTCAAACTAGAATTTCCCAGATGTTCCTTATCTACTGTACATATATGAAATGCAGAATGAAATTATTTGATGGTGTTCAACCTATAAAACAACTTTTTAGTGGCGTTCGATACCCGCGGAGTTTGTCAGTGATTTTTTTCATGGAAATTGAAGACTTTTTTTATCAATATTTACGTACAAAAGTGATAGTATTTTTACAACAGATGGTAACATAGTTTTTATGACTTATTTAATATATATACTTCATACATGATGTTGTTCTGTACACTGTGGTAAATTATTAGATCCTCTCAACTTTCACTTTCGTAAATTTTTTGTGAATTTTCAAATTGATTTCATCACCAATATGAGATTTTTAGAGTAAATGTTTAAACAATTACTCTAACCCGGGGTTCTATGATAACACGGTACTTAATGTTTATCAGAAAATATTTAAATATAAATATATTATACATGAATGAGATTTTTCTTCTATAATTTTTAGCTCGATAAGAATAAGTAGAGCTTACGTCACCTGAGCGTCGGCGTCTGCGTAACCACTTATGCTAAAGTTTTTGTAATACCTCAAATATTTTCAAAGTCCATTGACATATGGCTTTGAAATTGTGCACACTTGTTTACCATCATGACCCCATCCTGTAGACAGGAGAAGGTACCTGTATCAAGCATTTTGACAGAATAATGCCCCTTTTTCGACTTAGAATTTACGTTTAAGTTAAGTTTTTATAATACCTCAAATATTTTCAAAGTCCATTGACATATGTCTTTGAAACTTTGCACACTTGTTCACCATCATGATCCCAACCTGTAGACAGGAGGAGGTAACTCTATCAAGCATTTTGACAGAATTATGCCCCTTTTTCGACTTAGAATTTACGTTAAAGTTTTTGTAATAGTTCAAATATTTTCAAAGTCCATTGACATATGGCTTTTAAACTGTGCACACTTGTTCACCATCATGACCCCAACCTGTAAACAGGAGGAGGTAACTGTATCAAGTATTTTTTTTTTACTATCAAGCACTAAGAAAAGTCGAGCATTGCTGTCCTACCGACAGCTCTTGTTAAAACAACCTGTGGCTTTCTGAAGGGGAAAATATATCGCGATAAATCAGAAAAGGGGAAAATCAAATTCTAACAACTGAGAATGGTTTACCTACACATGTTTTAGAATATTCAATTTCAATTCAATTTAACATGATTCCATGATACATGCAAGGGCTATCTGTAGGGACGGCGTTCTGTCTTAAGCTGATATAACACAGCTGCTGTTAAGTCATGGCTCTAGTGAAAAATGTGCAAAGGGCATTTTAGGGGATAAATAGTAGCATTTTAAGGGGAAAATATACCTATTTAGGGCTAGGGGAAACAGCCTTGATTCAGCTGTAAAATGCATGAAAAAAAATCACAGCCAGTACTGGTGTCATATGAAGAAACATGGTCGTAACCCGAGTATGGCTCGAACCCATGATCTCCGGGTTGAGAGGCAGACACCTTAACCACAAGGCCACTGTTAATTGATCAGGTACATGTAGGGGTACTACGAGTTCAAAGTCAAGAGTGAAGTTATCTTAATTGGCATTAATTGACATCAACGTGGCTTCTGACAGTAAATATTATGTTTATTCAAAATATAACAACACCATTCTTCAAATTTATTGCTGTTCACATACAAATAGTTTTAAATATCAAGATATCATGATGTGTGACACAGTTCAATCGGGACCAAATCAAGTTTCCAAAACTAATGACTTTGATGTGTTCTCGGAAAATTCTTATATAAAAATGAGACTCTGATCGATTGATAATTAAGTGAACACAATGTGCATACTACTGTTCTTGTATGTAATATTTCTTGTATTTGTTTATTTGTAATTATCAGATTATCTGATAAAAATGAAACTGAAGAATTATTACTACATCACTTATTGTTTATTTTTCATTTGTCAAATATTAATTATTCATATTTCATGTACATCTGTCAGTCCATTATGTGATTGGTAGTTAAACTTACGACGCACAGATCTTTGTAAAAAATCACTTACATATGCCAAAATAATATGTACTAGCGGCAGGCTGTAAACTTTGCAAATACACAGGGAAAACTCTCCTGAGTGCATCCTAGAATAAAAAATTTCCAGGGGGGAGCATGGCCCGGTACCCCCCTCGAACCACCATATTGGCCTCACAAATCACAAAATCGTGACGAAGTGCCTGTAATACATTGTATTGGTAATGATTAGCTTTCAGTATTTGTTTAACAATATTTTATGGTACATTTAGGTTAATGTTCAAAACTTTATTGGCTTAATACCAGTAACAAACTGAAGTCACATTTAGTGTTTTATAAATTACAGAATGTGAAACAACCTGTTGGACGACCATTTATTCAGAACTGTTTGAGAACAGACTTACCTTAAATAATTTCAAAATAAAATTTAGATAGAAATACTTGGGATGAGCACAGGATCTATAGAACAGTCGGTTTCAGGAAGCTTAGTGCGTAGGGGGCTGATTAGGGATAACCAGATGCAAGGTCTTCAAGGGGTACGAACCTCAAATGGAAATCAAGTTTCGACGCCTGGGCAATCTCGTCCGACAGGAGCTCAAACCCAGTCCCCTAGGTCACTTTTTACAGATATTCCGAAAGGATTGACTAGAAACAATGTAACACTTGAAGGAGGTGGGAACTTTGAAGACGGTCGAGAATACACCATACGTGACAGTTTAGGGAATTCAGCAGTAATGACTTGGAAAAACGGAAAGTTTTGTTGCCGAAATGAAGTGAATGGAGTTACTTCATTCCAAACCATAACACAGAATAATGTGGTTCTCGAAGGCGGTGGACATTTCAAAGCTGGCGAGAGATATCTTGTTAGAGATCGAAATGGAAACTCGGCTCAAATGGTGTGGGAAAATGGATCGTTGAAGGCAGTTCCTAAAAGTACAGTGCCGAATGGTAATAATTTTTTTTGGTCCTGTTTAAGCTGTTGTAATGCAGTCGTTTAAATGTCTCGTGCATATGCACATATTAAGTAGAATGATTCAGAGGCTTAGAAGTTTGTAGCTAAGGTTAGGTCAGTAATTTTTAAGGGAGAATACTCAGAATACTATTAAGTTGAGTATTCCTAGAAATTCCAAATATTTAAAGTTCCCACAACCAATTTTTAGGCACATATGGCTGTGTAAGTAAATAACATTAACAAGAAAACATCTAGGTGCGTTTGGGTATGTGTGTAACAGTAAAACACTGTATTTTCATCTGGAAAAAAAAGTACATATATGTTTTGATTTGTATATAAAAAATATTATGGTGATCTCACTAAATTTCCTAACTTCAATTGATTTAGAAATATATGTAGATTATGATAAACTAGCAATACTTGTTTAGTTTGGTCATGCTTAGGACATGGCTTATTTTTTCTTTTATACATGCAGTAAGAACCAGTCAGGGCCGCTTCCACCAGGAAAATTCTTTTAAATCATGTAAATTGCCTCTAAAATCAGAGATTGAAATTCCACTTGTCTGCTTGTAATTATGAGTAGAGAACTTGATGCAAGATGTGTAGAAAAATGTTGCCTGCAAATTGGGCGTAGAAGCTACTCGTCCTGCAGGAAGAGTGACTCTGAAAATATTTTTCGATGCCTGTCTAAAATTTAATCTACATGTACATCAAATTTTTATTTCCCTTTTTGCAAAATACTGTATTATTTTTCCCAAAATTTAAGGGATTGTCAATTTCCACAGCATGTCAAAAAAGGCCCTGTACTGTAGACTATTTTGAAAGTTGTTAGGCAAACAGTTTTTGAATTCTATATATCTACAGCGACAGCTGATTTCTGTATTTAACAAATGAGCCGCATCATGACAAAACCAACATAATGGGTTTGCGACCAGCATGGATCCAGACCAGCCTGCGCATCCCCGCAGTCTGATCAGTATCCATGTTGTTCGCTATCAGTTTCTCTACTTGTAATAGAGTTGGCAAGCGAACAGCATGGATCCTGATTAGACTGCGCGGATGCGCAGGCTGGTCTGGATCCATGCTGGTCGCAAACGCATTATGTTGGTTTTGTCATGACGCGGCTCAAATCATCTTGATATGTGGTCATAGCCCTCATTTGTATGACATGTATTTTCATTCGCAGATTCGCAGACAAGTGGCGGCAATAATAATTCAATGGGCAGTGGTCAAAATCAGGGAAAGAGCGCAAGTGCGGTTCTCAGGTAATATCAACAAGATTCAACTTGTTTTTAAGGATAGGTCAATTACAGTACAACTTCTTTAGATCAACAGCGTTTTGGGGGCAAATTCAGTGCTTAATCTTAGTTTGGAGAAGAGTTTGATTCTTTTGCTGTAAAGAGGACCCTTTTGTAGAGGTTATACTGTATATAAAAATGCATTGACAAAAATCTAAAATTATGAACTTTTCAGCAATAAATGTTTTAGTCAACGTCAGCTGCAAAGACAAGTCGTGTACTTAAAATGACATATTCCTGTGCACCTCTTGGGTAACTATTTAGCAGAATCTCAGGAGAGCCTCACTTCCTCCATAAACAGTTACCCATCTTACACTTGAAGAATATGTCAGGTTTTTTCTAGTATTGTTGTTAACATTCCTGTCTAATATTAAAAAATGTATACTTATGTACATTGTGTTTTAGGAGGCACATAATTGATTCCCAGGCATTATTGCGTAGAAGTCTTATCAGGGATAATCAAGGACAAACTGGACAAAGGATGCCAATTAGGTCAACTGGACAAGCTCAACAAACAGGTATATAAAAGCTTATAGGCCAAAGTTTTCAAAACATAATATTCCAATTGGGCTAATTGGAAATCTCCCATATCACACTTGTTTCTTTCTCATGTGACAGGTGGAATTGTCATGTGACACTTGTAGGACAGGACTTTCATGTTGCATGTGTAGAAATTTTCATGTGACACCATTGTTATGAGACACTTGAATAATTGTCATGTGACACCATTATCATGTGACACTTTTAGAATGGTCATATGACACTTTTAGAATTGTCATGTAACACCATTGTCATGTGACACTTGTAGAATTGTCATGTGACACCATTGTCCTGAAGTTTATTCTATTTTTATGCCCCCGCCATATAATGGCTGGGGCATATAGTGTTATTCCGTCATTCTGTCATTCAGTCATCATCAGTTTCCGTTCATTATCTTAGTAACGGTATTAAACATTCAACTCAAATTTGGCATATGGATATGTCATGAGAAAATACAGGTCAAGTTCGAATTTGGTCATGGTTCAATGATTTTTAGCTGAGTTATGCCTATTTTACTTTGAAAATAATATGAAATTTTCAGTTTTCGTTCATTATCTCCCCAACGGTATTATATATTCAACTCAAACTTGACAAATAGATATGTCATGAGATAATACAGGTCAAGTTCGAATTTGGTCATGGTTTGATGATTTTTGGCAGAGTTATGCCCCTTTTACTTTGAAAATAATATGAAATTTTCAGTTTCCGTTCATTATCTCCCCAACGGTTTTACACATTCAACTCAAACTTGACATATGAATATGTCAAAGGAATGCGCAGGCCAAGTTCGAATTTGGTCATGGTTCGATGATTTTTGGCAAAGTTATGCCCCTTTTACTTTGAAAATAATATGAAATTTTCAATTTCTGTTCATTATCTCCCCAACGGTATTACACATTCAACTCAAACTTGGCATATGGATATGTCATGAGAAAATACAGGTCAAGTTCGAATTTGGTCATGGTTCAATGATTTTTGGCAGAGTTATGCCCCTTTCACTTTGAAAACAATATGAAATTTCCAGTTGCCGTTCATTATCTCCCCAACAGTATTACACATTCAACTCAAATTTTACATATGGATACGTTAAAAGAATGTGCAGGCCAAGTTTGAATTTGGTCATGGTTCGATGATTTTTGGCAGAGTTATGCCCCTTTAACTTTGAAAAAAAGGAAATTTTCATTTTCAGTTCACATTCATTATCTCCTCAACAGTTGTACATATTCAACTCTGTCATAAAAATGCATTGGTCAAGTTCGAATTTGGTCATGGTTTGATGATAGCTGACAGAGTTATCCCTCTTGAACATTGAAAAAAAATCAGAAATTTTAAGTTTACATTCATTATCTCCCCAATGGGTAACACATTCAACTCAAATTTGACATATAGATACATCTTAGGAATAAGCAGTTCAAGTTTGAATTTGGTCCTGGTTCAAAGATTTTGGACAAAGTTTTCTTTCTTGAATGTTGGAAAATTTTTGAATTTTCATTTTCAGCACTCATACTTTTGTGGAAATGTATGTAACCCATTATTTTGGCTACAAATATGCATCATATGCAATTTACAAAAGGTTAACACTGAATAGTTTCAGTGCCTTGAACTTTGTATAAAAATGGTTTGTGTTAACATGAATAGTTTTAAGGGCTTTGAACTTAAAATGAAAAAAACAATGTGTGCAAACAAATTTGGAACAAAATACATGTATTATAACATCTGAAATTTTGGTTGCATGCGGGGGCATCCGTTGCATGATGACACATTTCTAGTTTCTGTGTTTGATGTACCATTTGATGGAGGTCTGACCTAATAACTTTTCAATTTCAGATTATTTGCTCAATCCACTTCTCCAGAATTTTAACCATGAAAAATATTGAAAAGCGTTTAAACACCTTTAACTCAAAATGGGACAAAGAATCAGCCAAAAATTTTATTCTGAGTTTATTTCTTTGATATCATTAGCATATCTTTATGTCTAACGTGCCCCAGGCAGATGATCTATGAGGACATTAAAATTTTATGTTTTAAGGATGGAGATTGTTTTTAGCTCACCTGTCACAAAGTGACAGGGTGAGCTTTTGTGATCGCTTTTCGTCCGGCGTCCGGTCGTCGTCCGTCGGTAAACTTTTACTTTAAATGACATCTACTCATAAACCACTAAGCTAATTTCATCCAAACTTCACAGGAATGTTCCTTTGGTGGTCACCTATAAAAATTGTTCAAAGAATTTAATTCTGAGTAATGAGTTACTTTTGTGTCAAATATGCAAAGGTTAGCCCACATGATGGTCCTTTGGGGCCTTAGTTTAGTTATAAAATTCCAAATTTTAGCCCTAAAATTTCTATTATGTACCCTAAAATTCCTAATTTTAGCCCTAAAATTTCTAAAAGATTGCCCTTAAATTCGCCCTAATTTTATGTCGGAAGGTGCTGGCAGCCTGTGTTTAATATGTGGAAGCTATGCTGAATACCAAAATTAAAGGTCAGCAGGCCCAGCTCTTTCTTTCCATACTATAACAGGCTATTTAAGGGCTGGTTCCCCCCTGGAAAGTTATTTAAAATCATGCAGTTTTCCCCTTAAACTCAAGTTTACATCAAAGTTTTTTCCTCCCCATTTGCAAAGAATAACATGTATTTTTTTTTCAATATTTAATTGAATTTAATTACCCCTATCTGTGAAAGTAAGGTGTTTCAAAAATAGATAGATAGGTATACATATATTTAAATATATTTGTTATTTGTAATCACTTTAACCAAGAAAAAGTAATACAATTATTTTGAGTTGATTGCCTTGAAACACTATGTCTCTTTTTATCTAAATAGCCAGGATGTTTTTTTTCCTAGTATTCATTCATTGAAACTATTACACTATAAGTACACATGATTTATCACCTACATTGTGAAGCTAAAATTATTTTTTTCAAATTTTGTTTCAGGTATGCCACCACCCCCAGCTCCTCCTATGAACCCCACATCTACATCACAACAAATGGGAGGCTATCCACCTCAGCCCCCATTATCACAGCAGTCAAATATGGGCGGACCTCCGCCTGGAATGGGACCGCCTCCAGGAATGAGACCGCCGCCTCCTAGTTGGAGAGGTCCGCCTCCACGAGGACCTCCTCCGCCTTTTGGTAAGTTTTTAAAATAATATCTAAGAGGCATTAAGATTATTAACCAGGTTTGCTGAAAGAAAAATTCTGGTTATAAGATAAGTGAATGTTTGCAGGCAGTGTGGAAGACATGAATGATTTCTTTTGTGCCCTACTCTTTTTAGCTCACCTGAGCAATGCTCATGTTGAGCTATTGTGATGGCTCTGTGTCCGTTGTGCGTTGTCGTGCGTCGTCAACTTTTGAACATTAACAACATCTCCTCTGAAACCAATGACTGCACATTAACCAAACTTTACAGAAATGATCCTTGGGTGGTTCCCTTTCAAAGTTGTTCAAATGGTTCCGGTCTGTTGCATATGTAGGTCGTAGGGCCAGAAAAGGATTTCAAAAAACACAAAATTAAAAAATCGTTCTTGTCTGAAAGTACATGGGCCAGAGCTTTGATTTTTGGTATATGGTATCATCTATGGGTCCTCTACCAAACTTGTTCAAATTTTGTCCCTAGTGTCAAAATTGGCCCCGCCCCGGGGGGTCATAGGTTTTTCCTTATATGTATATAGTAAAATCTAAAAAATCTTCTCTGATTTGGCAAAGGCTACAGATTAGATATTTGGCATGAAACATTGTGTAGTAGACCTCTATCAAGATTGTTCAAATAATGGCCCTAGGGTCAAAATTGGCCCCGCCCCGGGGGGGTCATTGATTTTCATTACATACATATAGTGAAAACTTGAAAAATCTTCTGGTCTGAAAGTAAATTCATGCCCCGGGGGGGTCATTGATTTTCATTACATACATATAGTGAAAACTTGAAAAATCTTCTGGTCTGAAAGTAAATGGCCTAGAGCTTTGATATTTGGTCTATGGTATCATCTGAAGGTCCAATACCAAAGTTGTACAAATTTTGTCCCCAGTGTCAAAATTGGCCCCACCCCGGGGGGTCATAGGTTTTTCTAATATGTATATAGTTAAACATAAAAAAATCTACTTCTTTGAATTGGCAAAGGCTACAGGTAAGATATTTGGCATGAAACATTGTGTGGTAGACCTCTACCAAGATTGTTCAAATAATGGCCCTCGGGTCAAAATTGGCCCCACCCTCGGGGTCATTGATTTTCATTATATCATTATATACATATAGTGAAAACTTGAAAAATCTTCTGGTCTGAAAGTAAATGGCCTAGAGCTTTCATATTTGGTCTATGGTATCATCTATAGGTCCAAAACCAAAGTTGTTCAAATTTTGTTCCTAGAATTAAAATCGGCCCAGCCCTGGGGGGTCATAGGTTTTTCCTAATATGTATATTGTAAAACCTAAAAAAATCTACTTCTCTGAATTTGTAAAGGCTACAGGTTAGATATTTGGCATTAAACAATGTAAAGTTGACCTCTACCAAGATTGTTCAAATAATGGCCCTCGGGTCAAAATTGGCCCTGCCCCGGGGGTCATTGATTTTCATTATATACATATAGTGAAAACTTGAAAAATCTTCTGGTCTGAAAGTAAATGGCCTAGAGCTTTGATATTTGGTGTATTGTATTATCTGAAGGTCCAATACCAAAGTTGATCAAATTTTGTCCCGTTGAAAAATTAAAAAGAATCTTCTTTTAAGAAAATCCCAAAGAAGCTAGAGCTAAGATATTTAGCATGAAAACATCTTACTAATGGGTGCTACCAGGTTTTGTTCAAAAATTAAAAGCCCATTGGGTCAAAAATTGGCCCCGCCCCAAAGGGGGTTCATTGGATTTTCCCTATTATAAGATAGTAAAAAACTTAAAAAAGTCATCTTTTAAAATGAACCCAAAGAGCAGAGCAAGATATTTAGCACATGAAAACATCTTCTAAAAATGATTGTCTACCAAGTTTGTTTCAACTAAGAGCCCTGGGTGTCAAAAATTGACCTGCCCAGGGGTGACATTGATTTCCTTATTATGTGTATAGCAAAACTTAAAAATCTTCTTGGAAAAAAACCCGAATAGCTAGAGTTTAGATATAAAGCATGAAACATCTTCTAGTAAGTGTCTACAAAGATTGTTCAAATAAAAGCCCAAGGGTCAAAACTGGCTCTGCCCCAGGAGTGTCATTGTTTTTAAATACTAGTATATGTGTAAAGAAAAAACTTAAAAAATATTTTTTTTAAAAACCCAACAAGCTAGACCTTAGATGTTTAGCATGAAACATCTTCTAATGGGTGTCTACCAAGTTTATTATCCCCCGCCGATGGAATAGGGAGGGGGATATAGTTTTGGCGTTGTCCGTCCATCCTTCCGTCCGTCCGAAATTCGTTTCCGGAGTAGTTCTCTGCAACTACTGGCTGGAATTCAACGAAACTTTATGGTAATCATCAATATCAAGAGGAGATGCGCATATTGTCGGCTTGTTCCAGTCCGACCTTTTGACTCAGAGAGTTATGGCCCTTGATTAGTTATGTAGTATGCATATAGAGTAAAAATCGTTTCCGGATGTTCTCTGCAACTACTGGCTGGAATTCAACAAAACTTTATGGGAATCATCAATATCAAGAGGAGATGCGCATATCGTCGGCTTGTTCCGGTCAGACACTTTAAACTCAGAGTTATGGCCCTTGATTAGTTATGTAGTAAGCATATAGAGTAAAAACCGTTTCCGCGCTACTTCTCTACAACTACTGGCTGGAATTCAACGAAACTTTATGGGAATCATCAATACCAAGAGGAGATGCGCATATTGTTGGCTTGTTCCGGTCAGACACTTTCACTCAGAGTTATGGCCCTTGATTAGTTATGCAGTATGCATATGGAGTAAAAATCGTTCCGCGCTACTTCTCTGCAACTACTGGCTCGAATTCAACGAAACTTTATGGGAATCATCAATACCAAGAGGAGATGCGCATATCGTTGGCTTGTTCCGGTCAGACACTTTCACTCAGAGTTATGGCCCTTGATTAGTTATGCAGTATGCATATGGAGTAAAAATCGTTTCCGCGCTACTTCTCTGCAACTACTGGTTGGAATTCAACGAAACTTTATGGGAACCTTCAATACCAAGAGGAGATGCGCATATCGTCGGCTTGTTCGGGTCAGACATTTTAACTCAGAGTTATGGCCCTTGATTAGTTATGCAATATGCATATGGAGTAAAAATCGTTTCCAGAGTTTTTCTCTGCAACTACTGGCTGGAATTCAACGAAACTTTATGGGAATCATCAATATCAAGAGGAGATGCGCATATTGTCGGCTTGTTCCTGTCAGACCCTTTAACTCAGAGTTATGGCCCTTGATTAGTTATGTAGTATGCATATAGAGTAAAAATTGTTTCCGCACTACTTCTCTGCAACTACTGGCTGGAATTCAACGAAACTTTATGGGAATCATCAATACCAAGAGGAGATGCGCATATCGTCGGCTTGTTCCGGTCAGACACTTTAACTCAGAGTTATGGCCCTTGATTAGTTATGCAGTATCCATATAGAAAATTATTTGTTTCCTCGCTACTTCTCTGCTACTACTGGCTGGAATTCAATGATACTTTATGGGATACTAAGAGGAGATATGCATATAGTCGCCTTGTTCCAGTCAGATACTTATAACTCAGATTTATGGCCCTTGATTAGTTATGTAGTATGCATACATCTCATTGGCATTTCCAGATTTTTTACGATTTAACACAAAGTTTTCTGTTATTGCCCTGAATATTTATCAAGTTCAAAGAATATTACTGTTTATGCCATGATTAATATATAAATAAAGCCTTATGTCTTCAGTTGTTGTGTTAATAATAACCAGTACTCGGCGGGGGATATAAATTCAACGAATTTGCTTGTTCAAATAAAAGCCCTGGGGTTTAAACTTGCCCCGCTCCGGGGGGCCTATATACAGGTGAGCGACTTCAGGGCCATCATGGCCCTCTTGTTATGTTTGTGACCTTGTTAAAAACCCTTATTTTAATTGCTTCTTATCTGTGTTTCATTTCATGCAAAGAGGGCAAAGTATGGACTAAAAATGGCAAAAAATTTTTTTTTTTTAATTTTATTGCAGAGAATTCAATTACCTTTTTTCTGCTTTTTAGGTCATTCAAGTGGACAGCAGGGAAATTTAAGTGCTCATCATAGTATAAAAAGGTAATATAACATGATTTTTTTTAAAAAAAAAATTTTAATTTTTAAAATTTTTTCAAAATTGGTGCATTTAAATGTAATCTATTTTTAACTTGAACCTTGTGGCAATACAGCGTTGTATGTGACATTATTTTTAAGGTCTTGTCAAAAATTCTCTTATTTAATTACTATTAAATTTCCTGATCGAATGGAATGAGAAACTTTTCCTTAAAATAATGAAATCAAGACTGGCTTAAAGGAATTTATAATTAAAATCAGAACTGGCTACAATCACACAATTCAAATCAGAACTGGCTACAACCACATAATTCAAATGAGAACTGTCTACAACCTCATAATTCAATCAGAACTGGCTTCAATCACATAATTCAAATCAGAACTGGCTACAACCACATAATTCAAATCAGAACTGGCTACAACCACATAATTCAAATCAGAACTGGATACAACCACATAATTCAAATCAGAACTGGCTACAACCACATAATTCAAATCAGAACTGGCTACAACCACATAATTCAAATCAGAACTGGCTACAACCATGTAAGTCAAATCAGAACTGGCTACAACCACATAATTCAAATCAGAACTGGCTACAACCATGTAATTCAAATCAGAACTGGCAACAACCATATAATTCAAATCAGAACTGGCTAAAACCACATAATTCAAATCAGAACTGGATACAACCACATAATTCAAATCAGAACTGGCTACAACCACATAATTAAAATCAGAACTGGCTACAACCACATAATTCAAATCAGAACTGGCTACAACCATGTAAGTCAAATCAGAACTGGCTACAACCACATAATTCAAATCAGAACTTGCTACAACCATGTAATTCAAATTAGAACTGGCAACAACCATATAATTCAAATCAGAACTGGCTACAACCACATAATTCAAATCAGGACTGGTTACAACCACATAATTCAAATCAGGACTGGTTATAACCATGTAATTCAAATCAGAACTGACTACAACCATGTAATTCAAATTAGAACTGGCTTCAACCACATAATTCAAATCAGGACTGGTTACAACCATGTTATTCAAATCAGAACTGGTTACAACCACATAATTCAAATAAGAACTGGCTACAACCATGTAATTCAAATCAGAACTGGTTACAACCACATAATTCAAATCAGAACTGGCTACAACCATGTAATTCAAATCAGAACTGGCTACAACCATGTGATTCAAATCAGGACTGGTTACAACCATGTCATTCAAATCAGGACTGGTTACAACCACACAATTCAAAGCAGAACTGGCAACAACCATTTAATTAAAATCAGAACTAGCTACAACCACGTAATTCAAATCAGAACTGGCTACAACCATGTAATTCAAATCAGAACTGGCTACAACCATGTCATTCAAATCAGGACTGGTTACAACCACACAATTCAAATCAGAACTGGCAACAACCATTTAATTAAAATCAGAACTAGCTACAACCACGTAATTCAAATCAGAACTAGCTACAACCACCTAATTTAAATCAGGACTGGTTACAACCATGTTATTCAAATCAGAACTGGCTTCAACCACATTATTCAAATCAGAACTGGCTACAACCACACAATTCAAATCAGAACTCGCTACAACCACATAATTCAAATCAGAACTCGCTACAACCACATAATTTAAATAAAATATCTTTTCAATATCATAAAGCTCAGATTTAACATGTTATGAATTTTTAAAGTCTCATTAAATCTTAAGGTTAACATATACCATGTATATATTCTTTATTTCAGTCTTGAATTGGTTAAGTTAATGAAACAAGTGTTGAATATGGGGTATAAAATGGAAATGGTGAAACTTGTTGCTAAACATCTAACGAAAGGAGGTAAGTTTTTTTATACTGTGAAGTGTTTGTTGGATTGTCATGATTGGCTTCGCTTAACGTTGATTTAACTCACAGATGCGATATCTGTAGTATGATCAGGGAGGCAATTGTCCGCCTTTCTAAATCTTGGTGAGGGGGGGGGGGGCAATTCTCTGCCTTGGCAAATACTTAGGGGGGAATTCTCTGCTCTTACATTATGGGGGGAGGGGGGGGGGGCGGGGTGCAATTATCCGTTTACCACCTTTCCCTTACAAGAAGAGAGGTTTTATGAATTTTTTTTTTATATATATAAACAATAAATAATGTAATTTTTGTAATCTTATGGTTGAGTCTGGAAAGAGTTGTAACAGAGAATGCCTCTGATATTTAACATACATGAATAAAGTAAGTAAATAGAATAAAATGTTCTGAAATATAATATTATGTGGCTATTTTAAAGTAGGAATTTATTTTGAGTAGGATTTAAAAAGTTTAGCAATGGTTTTGGGTATATGTCTGTAGCTCTGAAGGAGTCTATTTAACAGATTTGTCCCGCTATGAATAGTCCATTATTTTGAAATTTAAAGAGATTTTAATTATGTCTCCCCCACCTCGGGGGAGAGACATAATTAAAAATTTGCCCTGTCCGTCCGTCCGTCCGTCCGTCAGTCCGTCCGTCCGTCCGTCAGTCCGTCCGTCCGTCAGTCCGTCCGTCCGTCCATTCTTCGTTTCCGGACGATAACTAGAGTTCCTTTTGACCTACAGCCCTCAAACTTCATAGGATGATTGGTCTTATAGAGCTGATGATCCCTATTGTTTTTGGGGTCAGTAGGTCAAAGGTCAAGGTCACACTGACCGTTGGTCAATTTCTCGTTTCCGGATGATAACTAGAGTTCCTTTAGACCTACAGACCTCAAACTTCATAGGATGATTGGTCTTATTGAGCAGATGATCCCTATTGTTTTTGGGGTCAGTAGTTCAAAGGTCAAGGTCACAGTGACCGTTGGTCAATTTCTCGTTTCCGGATGATAACTAGAGTTCCTTTTGACCTACAACCCTCAAACTTCATAGGATGATTGGTCTTATAGAGCTGATGATCCCTATTGTTTTTGGGGTCAGTAGTTCAAAGCTCAAGGTCACAGTGACCGTTGGTCAATTTCTCGTTTCCGGATGAAAACTAGAGTTCCTTTTGACCTACAGCCCTCAAACTTCATAGGATGATTGGTCTTATAGAGCAGATGATCCCTATTGTTTTTGGGGTCAGTAGGTCAAAGGTCAAGGTCACAGTGACCGTTGGTCAATTTCTCGTTTCCGGATGATAACTAGAGTTCCTTTTGACCTACAGCCCTCAAACTTCATAGGATGATTGGTCTTATAGAGCTGATGATCCCTATTGTTTTTGGGGTCAGTAGGTCAAAGGTCAAGGTCACACTGACCGTTGGTCAATTTCTCGTTTCCGGATGATAACTAGAGTTCCTTTAGACCTACAGACCTCAAACTTCATAGGATGATTGGTCTTATTGAGCAGATGATCCCTATTGTTTTTGGGGTCAGTAGTTCAAAGGTCAAGGTCACAGTGACCGTTGGTCAATTTCTCGTTTCCGGATGATAACTAGAGTTCCTTTTGACCTACAGCCCTCAAACTTCATAGGATGATTGGTCTTATAGAGCAGATGATCCCTATTGTTTTTGGGGTCAGTAGGTCAAAGGTCAAGGTCACAGTGACCGTTGGTCAATTTCTCGTTTCCGGATGATAACTAGAGTTCCTTTTGACCTACAGCCCTCAAACTTCATAGGATGATTGGTCTTATAGAGCAGATGATCCCTATTGTTTTTGGGGTCAGTAGGTCAAAGGTCAAGGTCACAGTGCAGTGGGGGAGACATGCGCTTTTTTACAAAAGCATCCTCTAGTTTCAATATGAAAATTGGGCAATCAAAGGTATAAAACCTGTCGAACTGCACGGGTGTGCAGGCTGGCCTGACTCTACACTGGAGGTAAAGGCAAATCTCATTTGAGTCTAGCAGGTTAAAGGGTTAAATCTCCTCTACAAAATTTATGGATAAAAAATTCATGAAACAGTCATAAAAAAAATTTGCGCTGAAATTTACAAACAAATAGGGCAAGTAACTACCCAGAAAGCAATTTTCACTAGGGAATTATTTCTTGCCACAAGTTAAAGAAATCGACTACAATGTAATTATTTGCTGTCAGAATAGTGCTTATTTTAACCACTGTTAAAATTTGGTCTGTGATGCGTTAAGATTTTATGTCTTTTTTTTTTATACAATGGCCAATGCCCATCAACATTTTGAAATTTTACCTTGGTAACTGTAATGAATTTATAAATATTTAACAAACTTATTGAAATAGTCTTTAACTCTGTACATATGATATGTGTGAAAATAACTGTAAAAATTGTTAAAAAATGTTTTGTTTTCAGGAACTGTAGTTCCAGATCTAAACCTGTTTATTGATGCCATGGAAAAGGTTAGGAACCAACAAGAAAAAGCAGCTGCCATAAATAAACCAGGTGCTACTGGGTTTTCACAGAACATTAGCAATAGTAACCGAGCTGGGACTTCAGGTAAGTTCTAGACTGAAACCTATTTGAGCCGCGTCACGACAAAACCAACATAATGGGTTTGCGACCAGCATGGATCCAGACCAGACTGCGCATCTGCATCCATGCTGTTCGCTTACAAACCCTATAACAAGTAGAGAGACTGATAGCAAACAGCACGGATCCTGATCAGACTGCGCGGATGAGCAGGCTGGTCTGGATCCATGCTGGTCGCAAACCCATTATGTTGGTTTTGTCGTGACGCGGCTCATTTCATTTCTTAACATGCAGGAACCAAAATGTCCAAGGCTCAATACTGGTTCACTTTTGAATCCAAGAGATGGTGGGGTTTTCTTGCTATCACCAAGAGAAACATTGCCATTATAAAGTATAATGTTTGTCACTTTGTAGCTTCTAAAAGCTCATATCTTCCTGTTAAGCAGCCCGGGCAAAAGTACAAATTCAAGATGGCCACCGATATGGCCACCAAAAATGACAAAATAGCATATAATTATTGTTTCTTGACTTTTTACTTTGAATTTTTGTACAATAAAGTTTTAAACACAAAATATCAGATGAAATAAGACTAGTTTATGAATCAATCATCTTGACTTTTTGTTCAACAACTCATCACCTTAATGCAGTAACAGATTAACTCCTATTAAGTTATATAAGGAGTTAGCCCGTTACTGCACTATTAGGTGATGAACTGTTTATTACTGGAATGTCAGAGGTTCTGCTCAGATGCCTGTTTGTGCCTGAAATGATAAACAGAGGGACAATTGAGGTCTTCCTCCAAAAGTAAAGCTGGAAAGTCCCCATATAACCTATACTGTGTTGGTATGAAGTCAAACCCAATTAAAACACACAAAAGTATTACTGTAATAAAAATGTATTTTAAAATAGACCAAAAAAATTTGTGGAGCATAACTTAATTCGCTACAGAGTAATCAGTCTTTCTGGCTGAATAATCATTGCAGTACTTAAAACCTAAATTTAGATAACAATGTCATAGTATACAGGTCAATGAATTTTACATTGTATGTTTTTTTTTATAGGTGCTTCCAAAATGGAAGATGAATATCATAAACTGAAAGAACAAAGACAGTGTAAGATCTGCATGGAGAAGGATATTGAGATAACGTTTGTTCCATGTGGACATTTTGCTACGTGTGAACCTTGTGGAAAACCTCTACGTACATGCCCAATATGCAGACAGTCAGTGAAATCCTTCATTAAGACATTTATGTCATAAGCTCGTGTCAGGTGTGTCAAATCCTTCATGAAGACATTTATGTCATAAGCTCGTGTCAGGTGTGTCAAATCCTTCATTAAGACATTAATGTCATAAGCTCATTACACATGTCAAATATGTTGACAGACAAGTCAAATCCTTCATTAAGACATTTATGTCATAAGCTTGTTACATGTGACGGTGTCAAATAATTATGTAAACAGAATGTCAAATCTTTTATTAAGACATTTATGTCATGATCTCGTAACATGTGTCAAATATCATTAAGACATTTATGTCATAAGCTTGTAACATGTGTCAAATATGCTGACAGACAGTCATATCCTTCATTAAAACATTTATGTCATCGTTAATTATTTATGTCATAAACTTTTAACACATGTCAAATATGCTGACAGTCAAATTATAAAACTACAACATTTCATTTTGGTTGAAAGAAATGTAGATGTTGTTCAGTGTTTGAAATGCAGTTTATTAAAGGCACATTACGGCTGAGAGATCCATAATTTTTTTAATTGTTTAGGAATTTCAAACATGTGTTTAATATTGTTTAAAAATGGATCAAGAGCATGTTAGACGATTTACAACTGAAAAGTAGGGTTGCAGTTATGTATCATAATTTTAGCAAAATGTAAACAAAAGTAGTATTTTGACTTCTGTACAAAATAGTAATTATGCCCCCATTTCGAAGAAAAGGGGGTATATTACTTTGCACTTGTCGGTCCGTTGGTCTGTCGGTCCGTAGACCAAATGGTTTCCGAGTGATAACTAAAGAACCCTTAGGCCTAGGAACTTCAAACTTGGTATGGTGATTGGTCATGACCAGTAGATGACCCCTATTGATTTTGGGGTCAAAGGTCAAGGTCACATTGACCTTGTAAGCAAAAACGGTTTCCGATCAATAACTAAAGAACCTTAAGGCCTAGGAACTTCAAACTTGGTATGGTGATTGGCCATGAACAGTAGATGACCCCTATTGATTTTGGGGTCAAGGGGTCAAAGGTCAAGGTCACATTGACCTTGTAAGCAAAAACGGTTTCCGATCAATAACTAAAGAACCTTAAGGCCTAGGATTTTCAAACTTGGTATGGTGATTGGTCATGAACAGTAGATGACCCCTATTGATTTTGGGGTCAAGGGGTCAAAGGTCAAGGTCACATTGACCTTGTAAGCAAAAACGTGTTCCGATCAATAACTAAAGAACTTTAAGGCCTAGGAACTTCAAACTTGGTATGGTGATTGGTCATGATCAGTAGATGACCCCTATTGATTTTGGGGTCAAAGGTCAAGGTCACATTGACCTTGTAAGCAATAACGGTTTCCGATCAATAACTAAAGAACTTTAAGGCCTAGGAACTTCAAACTTGGTATGGTGATTGGTCATGATCAGTAGATGACCCCTATTGATTTTGGGGTCAAGGGGTCAAAGGTCAAGGTCACATTGACCTCTTGGGTAAAACGGTTTCTGATCAATAACAAAAGAACCCTTAGGCCTAGGAACTTCAAACTTGGTATGGTGATTGGTCATGACCAGCAGATGACCCCTATTGATTTTGGGGTCAAGGGGTCAAAGGTCAAGGTCACATTGACCTCTTGGGTAAAAACGGAACTTCAAACTTGGTATGGTGATTGGTCATGACCAGTAGATGACCCCTATTGATATTGGGGTTAAGGGGTCAAAGGGCAAGGTCACATTGACCTTGTAGGTAAAAATGCTTTCAAATCAATAACTTAAGAACCCTTTGGCCTAGGAACTTCAAACATGGTATGGTGATTGGTCATGACCAGCAGATGACCAATTGATTTTGGGGTCAAGGGGTCAAAGGTCAAGGTCACATTGAGGTTGTATGTTAAAACGGTTTCCGATCAATTAACTAAAAACGCTTAGGCCTAGGACCTTCAAACTTTGTATGATGATTGGTCGTGACCAGCATATGACCCCTATTGAGTTTTGGGTCAAGGGGTCAAAGGTTAAGGTCATGACCAGTAGATACTTGATAACCCTTATTAATTGTTTGATCACTGGGTCAGAAGTCATGCATAATAACCTTATCACATGACTAATTGGCTGCTGATAGTGGGCATACATGTTTTACAAACATATCTTGTTCAATATAATTATACCAATTGCTAAGAAAGCAAAAGGAGCAAAGATAATTCATCTATATGGCAAATGAGTATTTATTAATGAAATTGTAATATGATAGCAAAAAATAAAAGGTTTTGAGAAATGATTCTGATTTCTGAGGCATAATGGGTCTTTAACCCATATTTACAACAACAAAAAATAGTTCCCAAGGCTTTATGTGCCTTCAAAAATTACTGATATTTGATTTTCTCATAAATGTATATTGCTTTTTTATGACTTATTATTTCTGTTATGAATTGTATTTGATATTATAAAAGTTAGTGTTTCCAAGTTGTGACTTTGAATTATTTTTGTTTCATTTGTTAGGGGTGTCTGTGGCTGAGTGGTTAAGGTTGTTGACTGTAAATCACTTTCCCCTAACTGATGTGTGTTTAAATCCTGCCAGGTTTTATCAATTCTAACATGTTGAGAAGTTGTGTTTGTTTGTTTTGGCCAAAGAGCTTTCAGGCTGTATAAAATGTAACTGCAAGTAAGTTATGGGTGTGAGGGAGTTTTAGAAGTATGAGCCGTGTCATGACAAAACCAACATAATGGGTTTTCGACCAGCATGGATCCAGACCAGCCTGCGCATCCGCACAGTCTGATCAGGATCCATGCTGTTCGCTTACAAACCCTATAACAAGTAGAGGATCTGATAGCGAACAGCATGGATCCTGATCAGACTGCGCGGAAACCCACTATGTTGGTTTGTCGTGACACGGCTCATATGTTCCATATTCCCTTTTATTGTGAATTTATTTTTTTTGATTAGAATAGATATTCCCTTATGATTTTGAATTTATTTTGTTTGATTAGAATAGATTTTCCTTTTTTATTTTGAATTAAATTTTGTTAATTAAACAAAAAATAATTTTCATGTGAGTAAATATATACATTATACTATAGGCAATATATTTTATTGAAGTAAAGCATTGATTTGTTTAAACTTTGTATGATAAGCTTTCTGCTAAATTTGTTTTTCATAAATTTTGATGTTAATCAATTTATCAAATTTAATATACCTTATTCAACAGTTAATATATGGAACATTATTTAATTGTATAAATTTTCAATTGAGTAGTACCATAATTATTGTGTTCCTGTGAAATAAAAAAAAAATGTTTTTATTTCATTTTATTTATTAGGAAATTTTAAATCAAGTTAAATTATCATATTGTATGTATGTTTGCATAGAATATTACTATGTATACTGAATTTTGCATGTATTTTTCTTTGTTAATTTCTTAAAGGCTTAGAAATAAATATGCTTTTGGTTGCCCTACCTAAGACATTTTTTTTGAACTGTTAGCCATAGACTTTTTATGCCCTTGCTCTATTGCCCCTGACTAAGTAAAAAATGTGCAATTTTCAACTTGTGTCTTGTGTAACTTGAAAAAACATTTGACCAAGAATCATGAAACTTTAGTTTACAGGACAGTATGGTCAGTATGTGTAGTTGTGCATCTGGGGTTTTATTTGTTTTTATTTCCTTTTAAATATACTTAAGAACATAAAATTGATTTGAAGTTCTTGCTGCACAATATTGGGGGAAAATCAAGATGTCAATATTAGAAAAATTGGAAGTTGTCTTTATGTACAAACCACTAATGGGTAGTGGGAATCATGTAGAATTTCCTTTATCTCTCCATCATACTGTCCTGCTCTGTATGTCAGTAGACTAACAAAACAGTAGAATGTATGGGCATCCATGTCCTATGGACATATTTCTAGGTTGGCCTTTCATTTTCTGAATTTCAAAATTTTGTGTTAAAATTATATCATATATGTGTATATGTACCAGTAACTAATTATACAATATTTTTGATTAAAAAAATCCTGCCTATCCTATTTTAAGCTCACCTGGGCACAAAATCCTTACCTGGGCACAAAATTCTCACCTTGGCACAAAATCCTTACCCAGACATGCTTACCTGGACACATGGCTCACCTGGGCACAAAATCCTCACCTGGACATGCTTACATGGGCCCAAAATCCTCACCTGGACATGCTTACCTGGGCACAAAATCCTCACATTGACACATGCTCACCTTTGCTAGGACATGCTTACCTGGGCACAAAATCCTCACATCGACACATGCTCACCTTTGCTAGGACATGCTTACCTGGGCACAAAATCCTCACATTGACACATGCTCACCTGAGCTAGGACATGCGTACCTGGGCACAAAATCCTCACATTGACACATGCTCACCTGAGCTAGGACATGCGTACCTGGGCACAAAATCCTCACATCGACACATGCTCACCTGAGCTAGGACATGCGTACCTGGGCACAAAATCCTCACCTGAACACATCCACACCAGAACGCTTGCTCAGAGGATGCTTATGATTCTGTTGGCCGTCACAATCTTTGGATATTGATGGATTTGAATAAAGTGTGCAGGATTAACCCTTTGGTGACCCCTTTATACAAATTATATGTATAGTTCTAGTCTGATGCATAAATAGGTCATCTCTCAAGCTAAAAATAGTCTTTAGAGCTAAAAATAGTCTTCAACAGTATTCCCTTGAGGTTGGACACCCTCTACAAAGTTATATGAGTCAGGCCCCTGAGCTCTAAATTGGCTCCCCACCAAGGGTCACTTAATTTATTAACACTTAAATGGCAGACTACAATGCCCAGAGCTTAGATATTTGGCATTTAGCATTGACTAATGAATAACAGAATTTACATAAATCATGCCCTTCTAGGTAAAAATTTCCCAACCCAGTGACCTAGGGGTCATTTAGTTTATATAGAGTTCTATAGCAAATGTGTCTTAAAAATCACATCCTCTTAAACAGCATGGATAAGAACTTAGATATTTGGCACATAGCATCACCTTGTGGTCCTCTACAAATGTTATATAGAAAATACCCTGGTTGTTAAAATTTAACCCCGCCCTAGTGGTATCGTAAGTTATAAAGATCTGTATTGTTAACACATTTGAGACCTCATGTGTGAATAACCTAGATATTTGGGATCAAGTATTTATTAGAGGACATCTACAAACATTTGAAAAATAATGAAGCTTTGGTAAAAAAAAATAATGATGCACCAAATTTGACCTTATTACATACTTCTGCATTAAATAATGTGACCTTTTCTAAAATGATGCACCAAAGTTGACCTTATTACATACTTCTGCATTAAAAAATGTGACCTTTTCTAGCAACGAAACTAAGGTGAGTGATCCAGGACTTACAAAGACCTCTTGCTTCTTCTTATTTTAGACTGAGACCTGAAACAAAACTTAGCCTTTGATTGGTATTATGATTTTTTATGAATGCATGTGCAGTTTAATTGTTAATTGCTTTTTTCACATATGTATAAAGTATATTTTTGAATACATTAAAAGTGAATTTAAAAATGACCTCAAGTTGTGGTTTATTGAAGTTCTCTTTTTGGTGTGAAGGGGTCTCAAGGGTCAATGTAAAGGTCACTGGTGTGAAAAATAAATTGAAACAATTTTGCTCATACAGCCTTTATTTTTAGATTGATGTGTTTCATGTTTAATATAAAGATGCCAAGGGTATCCTTTGGATATAGATAGGGGTCATTTGGGTCAAGGTCACCAATGTCAAAAGATAGATGTTTACACCTGTGTTAACCTTATTTTATTGACAGATGTCTTTCATATTTGGTAAGAACATAAATTGAGGTGTTCTCTAGAGCCTTTATTTATTGACAGATGTATTCCATATTTGATAGGAAGATAATTTCCATGATATTCTTCCTTTTGATTAAGGTAGGGGTCAGTGAGTCAATGTCACAAGAGCTAAAAATAGCTTTTTACACCTTTGCCTATACAGTCTTTATTTATTGACAAATGTATTTCATATTTGGAGAGGAAGACAACTTGCATGGTATCTTTCCCTTTGGATGGAGTTAAAATGTGTAAAATATAAGTGTAAAATATTTTTACACTTTTGCCCATATAGCCTTTATTTATTGACACATACATGTATATTTATTTCATATTTGATAAGAAGATAATCTGCATGATATTATTCCATTTGGTTGAGGTAGGGGTCAGTGGGTCAAGGGTGCCAAAAAAAATTATACATTAGCTTATACAGCCTATATTTTTAGGCTGGTGTTTTGCATATTTGTATGGTCCTGTGCTGGGAGACACAAGGTCAATGTCACAGTAGAGTTTTTACACATTTTTATACAGACTGTGTGGTTTTTTTTACCAATGTCTCGTATTAATTTTACAAGGAACATACCTAACGTGGTCCTTTAAGTTTGTATTGAGTTTGGGATCACTGGGTTCAAGGTCAGGTGTTGCATTTATATAATATATGATAAAGTTAAATATTTTCCAACTTCATCACAAGTCATATAATTATAGCAATGACGTGCCAACATATATTTTTCATAATAACAAAACCCCCATGACTGTCAAGTTATATAGCTGTGTTTACATTTTTGGGGGGGAATTTTTGTCCATAACTGAATGGGTACAAGAATCTGAGCAAGGGACATTTGTGTTTAACATACGTTCTTGTTTTTTCTTTCATTTTCTTATGATTGATTTGCTTAAACCGTTTGTTTGCTGTAAAAAAGTCGAGTGATGCCCCCGCCCGGCGGTGGCTCCTGTTATATTTTTTTATAGAGCGTAAGATAAAAAAAAGACCATATATAGTCATAATATATGAAAGTTCATGGCTCTTATATATAGTGGTATTGCATTTACATTTAATGTAACAATTTTGGGACAAGTAAACACATTATTGTTTTAAGGCTATACACAGTTAGTGTTCGTCTGACATTTGCTTCATATTTTCTAATTGCCTATCGTTATTGAAAACGGCAAAGCAACATACCTCGAAGTAAAACATTTGCTTGAGGAAAAAAGAACAATGAACATGCAATTACGAACTCACACAGGCATGTTGGGATAATTCATTATTGTAATACAAAAGTAAACTTTCAGCATTAAACAATCATTTACAGAAACAGTAAGGTCGAAGCGACGGTTGTGATCTTTCAATACATTTGGCATCGTCATAGTAACGGTTTAATCTACTTATATCTTTTTCACTTGCTTCAATTTCACCGCTTTTACGGTTCATTAGAACGGTCCCTTCGAATATTGCATTTCCTGGCACTGTTTCAAACGTTATTTGGTAATGAACGAGCGCATTAAATAATTTGTCACTCAAATCAGGAATTCGTCCATCTTTGTCCAAACTCTGCTTGAATTTTAAAATCTGATCATTGTTTTGAAAAAAAATGATTTAAAATTATTTTTTGAAAGATGCTGGGGCAGAGTTCAAAAAGTTCCGGAGAAAATCTTTGATACCGAAAAAATTTTCCTTACTGAAATAAAAATGTGGGGATGGAAAGGGAATGGCCTTTAAAATTTCAGACATGCGCACCAGTGGGGGCTAATTTCGCGTCTTTGCAAGTTCTGTCTTGGGTATAAAAGAAAACAATGAAAAAACCTTTCGTTTTACCTTTGATGATTGTTTCCCCCAATTATGTCCAAGAAAGTCTCATGAATGTCTGACGGAATAACTAGCCGTTTTGTGTTGGTTAAAAGATTTTCATACTTTTCGGGGTATGTTGTTTTGAATTTAGGCGGTACGTACACACCAAAATATGGCATTCTTTCTTCTAGTTTACCCTGCTCTGTCATTCGAATAGATCCAAACCTTGCACCATGATCACTCATAACTATAAGAAACGTTTTATCAAGATATTTATTATTTCTAAGGTATTCAAAGAAAGCGACGTTGTTATCGTCTGCCAACACGACAGGGTTGTTGTTGCTGTGTGAATACTCTGAGAAAAATCCAAATGTAAAGAAGTTTCTCCCTTTATTAGACTCCAATCCTTCTTTTAGCCAATCAATATAAACCGCGTGTCTCGTTCTGGAACCTAAACAGTACCGGTTAAAGTGACCATAAATGGGCATGGCAGCCAAGTAGAACGGTCTCATATAGTGATTGACAGGCTGGTCCTTGAACCCAAGCAGTCTATAATTAAAGGTTCCTATATTTGCAAGGTCTTCGCCCCACTGTGTTACGTAATTTTTCCTTTCATAACGTTTCCAAATAAATTCTAGTATTTGGTCAACATACTTTGCTCCCCGCTTTCCTCTCCGAACTTCTGGTATTTCTGTTTCCCGTTTTCCCGTAAGAATTGGCATTAAGGCTTGAGTGGTACCATCTCCAACAATGTTATAACCTTCAAGCAGGGAACCACCCAATACTTCAGTGAAATACTTGTGAGTTTTTGGCAATAATCTCATAAACGTCTGACGTGAAATCGAATCAAATCCGAAAACTAATACATTATATCTATCTGTTGCTGATGCGTTTGCAAATGGTACTCTGTTCGTAGTTGGAGCAATGCATGCATGAACATTAGCATATTTATGTCCTTTTGCAGATTTGCATGAAACTTTGAAAGCGTCAGAAACAAGCGCACTTCCGTTTAACATTGGGATGGTGGGCTTTAAATCTTTACTTTCGTCATTAGAATTTACAACCGGCACATATGCGCATTTGATTTCGCCATATTTATTTACTGCAGACTGTGAAATGTAAAACCTCCCATTTCCGGTATATACCCAGTCCATTTCATCGGTACATTTTATTGGTTCGACCTTTTCAAAATAGTTTTCAAATTCCTTGTTCCATAGTGACAGATTTGGATGGATACACGCTTGAAACCTAGAACCTAGTGTTGCTGATGTGTACCCATCTTCAAAATGAATCTTTGGCTTTTGTCCAAGATACTTTTGCATAAAAGTTGGAGGTTTCAATCTTCGTCGATTGCAAATTGTTACGTATATGTTAATTGTTGTATATATTAAGACAGTTCCAGCGAAGAATGTTACAATGCATCGTCTTTTAAATGGCTTCACCATAACTGCCCGATCTAACTGAGGTCGGCTTTATGAGAACTGATAGTCTTCACTCCCCCAGTCTCTTTTCCCCAGTCTTCGAATCTCTCCCCAAGTCTTCTCTTTCCCAGTCTTCCCTCCCGACACTAATTAGCCTAAAATGTCAAAAAAGAACATCTCATTTTTGAATTATAGTTTTATATCGAGCATGGTTAAAAAAGTAGATCTTGAAATTCGGTCTCGAAAACTTGAAAACTGATATATAATGGACCTTTCGGTTTTTCGTAGCGTAACATTTAGCCACACCTTTTCCCTTCATTGCTAGGTCAACTGCTCACAAACAGTATCACAAACATAAACACGTGTTCTTTTCTGAAACCAGGTCAACCAGTGACTATACATTATATCAGTGTAGCGATTGGATAACAAGTTAGCCAATTTACATAAAACTGTAAACACCGGAAAGGTCCATACTTTCATTGAGAAAGACGATTATGAAATTTCTTTTGAAAAAGTAATATTTTGCAATATATTGATGAAAATAAAGACCTATTAAACCCATTGTATATTTTAACTGTAAAGACTAAAATTTTGTACATTGACCGTTAAGGTGTGCTGAAATTTTACATCAAAGTGGACAAAGGTACACAAAAGACAAAACCGACATGTTGAATTATTCATGTCAAGTAAGGACTTGACACCTGTACATGACCTTTATCATAGGTCAAATTATTGAAATGTGTATAATGTGTATAACTTGGTTATTTACTTATCGATTTGATTCATACTCGGAAAAAGTACACATTTGACAAGATTGATGAATTCAAATAAGACCGCCTTGAACTTTTGATGACCTTGAACGTCAATTTCAAATTTGATTTCCTTCGTGTGAAGATGAAAAAGTCGAGCGTGGCCCACGCTTGGCGGTGGCTCTTGTTAAAAAAGATGTCACATAATTTGAAAAACGGATAATAAATGGCACTGTTTTCCAAATATTGGGTATAATTTTGTCATTGTGTGAAGCAGATCTTAAATTATGTATATCGGGAGAACGTAAGCTTCTTTGAGAGAGTCAGTGAATAAGCCAGTATATAGTATGCCTTAAAGTAAGATATAATTATTTATAAAAGCCAGCTAGTGTTCACTTAGAAAGATACTTGAAATTAACATGATTTTTCGACAAAAATATATCAGTAAAATAAGAATGACTAACGCCTATTGTCATGTTATCCCGTTTATATCATCAAAATCACTATTTTTATCTTGAAAAAAAAAAATTTCAACTACAATGAAGTCTTACATGCAGATTTAGCTACAGCTTGAATGACATAGTGTAGGCAACTGCTTTAGTACTTAATGTATAGTTATCCGAACAGGAATGTTAATTTCTAGAACTTTCATTCAAAGATATATAGTATATATAATGCCTTTCTTTCGAATTCAATTTAA